CTGTAATACAAATAGTAAATTCAGTGACCAAATCGTATAAATTTCGTGATAAAATCAGTGATCAAATCATGTAAATTCCATATGAATTCCGTGCAAATTCCGTATCCAAACCATATTTTTAGTGATACGGAATTGTGCATTTTTCCGTATCCTATTATGATACGTTATTTCTAAGGAAAAAAATCGTATAAAAACTTTATAAAAAACGTATCCAATTTTTTTATAGGGCTATAATGTCATAAATTATACACAAATTGCTTAAATGTTACACCGGAATTTTTTTTAAATTCACTATCTAATTTTTACTGTAAGGTATAAACAGCAGAGGTTAAAGTCTCACTGAAAATAAAAAAATACTGACTTCTGGTAACAAATGTTTAATTTCATATGCAAGCTTTTAAATTCATGTATAATCATATTGAACGAGAAAAAAACTATAATTAATGGATTATATAATCCTGTTTCTTGAAATATAAATAAAATATTTATTGAATAATTCAAAATGGATATTATAAGTTTGTAACGAATAAAAATTTTATTCGATAATCACGAGCAAGTTTTAATTTCTTTATTAGGATCAAAGCACTACAAAATACTAATTTGACTAGTCTATGAAACGCCATAATAATAATAACTGATTTAAATCATTTAATTTAACCTACCAAGTAAACTTTTTAGTATAATCTTGCATCGCATTATTTTCATAATCATTAAATTTCTGATTTTGACTTAACATTTTGTATTTCATAAACAAGTCGGACTAATTTCAAGATCGAAAAAGTTGAAATTCCATTTAATAGCACGCAGAAATATTGTTTTTTTTCAAGACGTAATCTGGTAAGTGAACCTGAAGTTCAAACCATTCGGGATTTGATATGTATTGCTTATTAATTTTTTCAAGAAAATTTGTTGAGTCTATCAATTAACCTTTTCTGTGTTAGCCTTGTTACAATGAGTAAAAACAGACGTGATATAATTCATAGATCGGAGATCTAAGATACCAAGGTACAGCTTTCCAATTATTTCTTATCGCGAGCTTGTATAGCGCCCAATGCTGAACGATTAAAACCAAAATTCCAAAATTGTTTAACAAAATGAAATTATTGGAGTTATAACAGGAATAATGAAAAGGGCATAAATCTTACGAATAACAAATAAAACAGCTCACGATAGAACCATTTTTTCCTAGTCTCATCATCAGAGGCAACAATTGGATCTGAAAATCCAAGTGACTTTATGACGGAATATGAATTATAGAAAACTCCTTGTAATATGATTTTGATTATTTCTTTTTTCATATATAATTTTTAAATGGAATGAAATGTCATTTAAATATAGATACGACCGCGATATAATATGTAATTTTCACCTATCATGTCCTTCCGTTTTTCACTATTGCATTCTGGGAACGGAATTTTTTTCGATTTGAGAGTTCTATTTGCTACCTAATATTTTCACAACTGACGTTTGTTTTCTAATGCTGTAATACTACTTGTCAAAGATTACGTGATCAAACCCGATTTTATAGACATCTCATTTATAGAAACAAATAAGATAACCTTTTAATGTCGTTTAAATCAGTTCCTAATTTGTTCCTTTCATTTTCTCCATTTGATTCTTCAATGATTTAACGCTTAATCATTCCATTTTTCCAAATGATTTATTTAAATGGATTGATTATCCATATGTAGATATAAATAACCTTTTTTTTAATATCATAACTCTATCAATCTCCTAATTTGCTTTTTCCATTTTTCTATATTTGTTCTTGATGGATTACTAAAAGACGCCATGCTGTTTTTGACAAATAAAGAACAAAAAGTCGCATTGTGTAAAACTAACGATTATTTGCAGCTTGTTGATTTACATGCAGCGAATGTTACCAAAATTTTTGCTTAAATAGGATTATTTATTTATTTATTTATTTATTTATTTTATTACTAGAAGAGAAGTACATCCAAAACTATTACAAATAGAAGTGAGAAGACATTTTCATGTTTGACAACTAATATACGTGTATAGAATTTTGGAAGTTAATCCCCTACGGGACCTCACACTTCGGACTGTCTATTCAAAAAGCTAGGACTACGCTAACCTTTCAAATGGGAAAAATGGAATACGCTGATAGCGGTATTAGATAGGATTATTTAAAATTATTGTTAGGGTTACCCATGAAGATCGAACAAGTCACATGATGCAGTGCGCAGAAATCCCATCATGACTGAGTTTATTACAATATGAAACATTTCTTATATATATTTTAGTTTTATTAGTTACTTACATTAATTAACCACTTTTAGTATTATTATTACTTTTGACTCATAAATATTCAATTATAAGTATCAGTTTAATTATTATAACATTAGTAAAATTGCTTTATTAGTTAGCTAGAGAAGTTTCTTGAGATTTACATAGTTGATGAATCATATAGACTTATGGAACTTATACAAAATGGTAATAGAAAGGTTTTTACAGATAATTGCAATGAGAAAAGAACAATTGATTGATAATCATATTAGTATAATAGGATAATATTGATAAGTTCAAACTGTCATGTATGAAAATGTAAACATATATAGGGCAATATTTTCTTTTGAATAAAGGTTGTCAACACCTGAGTAGATCTAACAGAGAGTTTAGATTGTGTTATCCGAAGTATTATTTGATTTGATTGTTAGTTTCTTTTTTTCAGTATTAAACTTTTCGCGTGTTTTACTTGTTTTACCTTTGTATTTTGTCGTTATTTGTTTGATAGATTTTTATCCTTAAGAAACTCTTACATTATTTTACCAGAATTACATTTTTATTACTAATTTTCTATTGGGAATTATTAGTGATACATATATATTTTGTTACAATATTATTGAAACACCTACAGTATAAATCTTGATTGTTTGACTTTTTGCCATAACTAATCGGCTTGACATCTCCGACGTTAGTTATCATTCCAAACCAAATTAGTGATAACACAGCGTTTATTTCAAGGTATTCCCTATAAAAAAGAATGTCCGGAAATTGTCCAGTAAATGTCTAAATGCCTAGAAAAATATCCTGTTAAAAATTAAGCAAATTGTAGGCGGAAGATGTTCTCAAAAACGAGTCATTTTCTAGACGCAAATTTTCATGACAATTTCCAGATATATTCTGGACACCAGAATATTTTTTCCCAATGATGTCAAAGTTCGGATGATTTATAATGCAACCTTTTAAGCACTAACGTCATCATAAAAGGTTTTACTCTATTCACGTTTTTCTTGTAAAATCAATTTACATATTAAAACTACATTAACAATTATGAAATATAACAATGTTTAATGATGGTGATAAAATTAATTTTTCTCCTCAAGTATTTAAAATTATTCAAGATAAAGTTATAAATATTGTAATTCATTCTTTTTTGCAACTACTATTCAATCCTTTGACGATAGTAATGAACCTAGTATCATCCGTCAAAGTCTTCAAATTTATTAATTTTTTAATAAAATAACCCAAAATATAAATTAAAATATCGTTTAATTAATAATTGTGTAACAAAATTCAATGTTCCAGCTGATAAATTTCGTCATGTGATTCGTCATTACAAAATAAAACGTCGATCATGGTATACAAGGTTTTTTTTTAAAAAAAAAAATTCTCTCTTAAAAAAACAAATGTCTTTTGAATATTCTCAGGAACTTGCTAATGATTATGAAAAATTATTTGAAACTGATGAAGGATATGATGTTATTATTTACGCCGGTGACAATGAAAATGTAAAAGAAATACATGCGTTTTCAAATATTTTACGTATTAGGTCTCAATATTTTCGTACGGTACTTTCTAATGAATTGACCAATAAAAAGGATGGAAATTTTATTTTTAATTTTCCTAATATTACTCCTCAATTTTTTGAAATTATTTTAAGGTAATGAAAAAAAAGTAATAATAAAAGTAAACGTATATACTGTCTATAACTCTATATATATCGAAATTAACGACACAAAGTTCTTTTAATATAATAGGTTTATTTATTGAAATTACAAGGACTAGATATTCTAAAGCTTTTATCAGCAGTGGATGAATTTAAAATCCAAAGATTAATAATTTGTATTCAAGAATATTTGACCAAACATCAACATGAATGTTTGCAAAATAACCCTGTGGAAATTCTTGAAACAGTTTACCAACGTGAAACTTTCACAGATTTATGGAATTATTATGTTGAAAAAATTTGTGACAAACCAGATGTGTTATTAAATCTGATAAATTTATCAATTTAAATGCAACTTTATTAGAATTACTTTTAAAACGAAATGATTTTGTCATTGGATGAAATTGATATATGGAATAACTTGATTAAGTGGTGTTTTTCTCAACATCCTACTATTCAACAAGATGTTAATAAATGGAATAAAGAAGAAATTACAATCATGGAGAGAACTATTTATAGATTTATTCCGTTGATAAGATTTTATCATATACCTTCAGCAAATTTTGTCACCTAAAGTATATCCTTATAAAGAAATATTACCAAAAGAATTAATTAATAATATACTTGTATTTCATATGGCTCCATACGATTAAATGTTGATATTCAATTTCCTAGGAAACAACAATGTGTTTATGATTCTGTCATCATCTATAACAAACATTTTGATATTTTTTCTGGCTGGATTGAAAAGAAAATTCAGTTTTATTATAATTTAAAGAATATTCCTTATAATTTCAATTTACTTTATCGTGCTAGTAGGGATGGTAATACAACTTCAGACTTTTATACTAAATGTGATAATAAAGGTGCTACTATAGTTATAGCAAAAATTACAAATTCGAATCAAATAGTTGGAGGATATATTTCACTTCAGTGGGATTTAACTGATAAGTGGAAGTCTACAAAAGATTGCTTTATATTCTCATTTGCAAATAAAGATATCCTTTAAAGTGCAAAAGTAGGATATAGTAATGATGTGTATTCTGTACTTTGTCGTTGTGACTTTGGTCCAATATTTGGTTTGGGAGGTGATTTAATTTTTAAAAACAACAGATGTTGTAGGGATCGTAGCAGTTCTTATCCTGATGTAGATATACCGGTAGGCAAATTTGAAACGATGATTGATTATGAAGTTTTTCAAGTTGTTGTTAAGAAATGTTCAAATTAGCGTATCTATATTGTTTGTACACTAGGTATTAAGTGGCGGAATTTTTATTGTCAGAAGAAATGTTTAATTTGTTATTACGAATGGAATATTTATTACGAAATTTTTATTTATTCATTATTAATAATTGTTGAACTCTTTCCACTTTCTTTGTATATTCATGACACGTTATAATATATTTATTATTGTAAAACGACTAAACAATATGACCATTTATTTTTTTAATTCGAAATTGATGTAGCAGGAAATACAGAAATTACATTTTCGACAGGTAGTAGAAAATACTTTTGCATTGATTTTGTAAAATTAAATGCAGTATCTATGATAATATTTTTTATTGTGAAAAGATTTTTTTGATTTCGTCTATGATAAAATAATGTTATAATATTTGGAGATTGTAGTACAAATCACTCGTTTAAACTACGCATTAAATGTATTCCAAAATTTGCAAAGTTTCATTCTACATTTCTTTTAAAATTCAAAGATAAAATTAAAAAACATTATATTTTTAAAGATGAATTATATCTGCCATATTCATTATTTTCCATTTTTAGATTCGTCTATTGCAAAAAAATTTAAATTATAAGGCCTAAAACTACTCGAACTTTTGATTATAGCAATGGAATTTAGTGTCCAAGTACTAATCACTTAATATATTCGTGATATATAATTAGTCAATAATATAAGTTACTAGAAGCAATTTATGTTAAATTTATTAACATGATACATTGCAAATTTACCGTTCTTGAAACAATTTGCGAAATCTTGTTACTTTAAATAATTGCCAATTGATTTACTTATCTTATATAATGATATTGTTACCGAAATATATCGGCAAGTAAAGGTCGACGGTTGGTTAAAATAAGTCGTATAAACACCAGGTTATCAACGGGATTCTTACTCAACACTACTTATCCGGTATTGTTCATTAAGAATCGTCAAGATAAACACCTACAAAATACGATAATGATAACACATGTCGAGTAATAAATGAATAATATATCAAAACATACAGAAACAATAATTAACAATACGATGTATAACAGTTTTTATTAATAACGTTATGAAGGGATAGGATTAAGGGTTTACAACAAAGCGATAATAAATGATAAAAAGTGATAGGGAAAAGGATTTCTACTATAGCTGGTAAAATACAATCTTTGGTCCTCACTACTTTTATCAACGAGTTGGTGAAAGGTATTTATATCTATTCTCCATCTCTTTTTCCAACACCATCTATTATCATATCAAAATCTAATCTACCAATAGGTTATAAACACATAAAGGAATATGTTTCATGGTAATATGGCTAATTACTATAATAGTAATAAAAATAACCATTATAAGCCCTCCTTTTGATAAGTTACGAATGACAAATTCTATCAGTTGATTATTATTAATCAAATTATCCTTCATTAACTCTTATTATAGATCTTATACATCAACATACATCAATAATCTTTTAAATTACAATTATAGACAATAAATAATATAATATAATAATAATACAAACAATATTGTAATATATGATTATTCTATCGCTACATATGTAAAACTAATAATAAAAATAATAATAAAATTGATAAAATAAAGAATATTATCTATATGGCTAATTTAATGTACACAACCTGCGGTCATAAATTGTTATGTAATGATAGAAATCGACATGGACACAAATTATATCAGATCGTCATATAAACATCGAATAACGTCAAACATCGGATGTGCATTTTATTGCGTAACATCATCCTCCATCGAAACGTGAGCTCCCGCAAACGAGAACATTACTGAATATTATCTATCATTTCGGATGGTCTACTAACGTAAGGCCGTATTTGGTCAGCATGCACCCATTTCTTACGAATCTTTCCATCTATTGTTCGTAACTGATAAGTTCCGTTATTACGATAGTCATGTATGTAATATGGTCCATTCCATTTCGTGTCCAGCTTCTTCAGTCAGAAATTCTTCAACAATACTTGTTCTCCAATAGCATATTGTCTAGGACGAATTTGAGCATCATATCGTTGTTTTTGTTTTTCTTGACTAGTATGCACATTACTTCTAGCTAACTGACGATTGTCTTCTAAGGATCCTATCAACATCCGAATCCTTTGGTAAAATTGTTCCTGAAAATCTTCAACTTGTTGATCTTGTTGAACATCCGATCTGTTAACAGTAGGATCACTAGACAACTTCAATTCAATCGGTAAAGTTGCTTCCCTTCTGTAAGTAAGGTAGAAAGGTTCAAATCGGGTGGTTTGTTGTCGGATGGTTCTATATGCAAACAACGCAGAAGGCAGATATAGGTCCCAGTTTGATTGATCCTCCATAGAATATTTTGCCAAAGTCTCACATAATGTTCGATTGAATCGTTCAGTCAACCCGTTAGTTTGTGGTCGATATGCGGTTGACAAGTGATGTTTAACACCTAGTCGAGTACATAACGAATCTAAAAGTTCATTTACGAAATGTGTCCCTTGGTCGGTCAAAAGAACTTTCGGACATCCATGCCTACAGATAACGTCTTCATAAAAGAAGGACACAACAGATGTGGCTTTAGCATCTGGTAATGCTCGAGCTTCGGGCCACTTCGTTAAGTATTCGGTTAATACAACAATATACTTATTTCCACGAGTGGTAATAGGTAATGGGCCAACAATGTCCATCCCAACACGGTCGAAGGGTTGTCCGATCTTTATAGGGTGAAGAGGCTCATTTCTTAATGGTCTTTTTCGTCGTTGGCATATATCACATGATTGGACATATCTTCTAATATCGTTTCCCATCTGTAGCCAAAAATATTATAAACTAATAGCACGATAGGTTTCAGAAAATCCAAAATGTCCTGCAAGTGGATCTTCGTGAAAGCTATATAACACAGAAGCTAATTCACTTTTCTTTAGTACACGTAGAGGTCGAGTAGGGCTTTCCTTATTCTTCTTATACAATAGGCCATCTATCGAAACATAATAATGGGCCTTTCATTTAAATGCGCGTCGTTGGGCAGAGTCAATATTATCGGGTAATTCTAAAGTTTCCAAATAACGTAAAATATTCAAATATAAATTGAAATCCATTGGTTGGGTTAAAAATCAGTGGGTTATCCAAAAATCGGCGTCAAAAAAAAAATATGTTAAAGAGTGGTAATAAAAATAAGAGATTTATATCTAGATTCTAATCCGAGATAGACTATTGACGTTAAGATGTTTCTTGCCAGAGCGATGTGTGGTTTCAAAATCATACATTTGGAGCTTCATGACCCAACGGGCCAATCTTCCGATAGGAGTAGCCGTATTAAACAAATGACATAACGCTGCGTGGTCAGTAACCAGTTTGAATCGTTGCCCATAGATATACGCATGGAAATGTTTTACGGCCCAGACCACCGCAAGACACTCCAATTCAGTCGCGGAATAATTACTTTCTGCCTTATTACAGGTATGACTAGCGTACGCGATTACACGATCATTTCCATCTTCATCCAATTGAGATAATATCGCGCCCAACCCAAAGGTCGAAGCATCCGTTAATAATATGAACTGTTTGTCAAAATCCGGAAAGACTAATATAGGAGCAGTTATCAATGCTTGTTTTAACCATTCGAAAGCGAACTGTTGATCCTTAGTCCACTTATAAGCAGTTCCTTTCTTCAATAACTTATTTAGAGGCGTTGCAGCACGAGAAAATTTAGGTACAAATCGTCGATAGTAAGAAGCCAGTCCGAGAAAACCTCGTAACTGAGTAATATTTGTTGGCACAGGAAAATCTTTTACTTTCTGTATCTTAGCAGGGTCGGTCCTTATCCCCTTGTTGCTAACGATATGTCCTAAAAACTCCAGCTCTTCTTTTACGAACGAGCATTTATCGGGATTCAGTTTTAACCCAGCGTCCTCTAATCGGTCAAATATCATTTTGAGATGTTCCAAATGTTGATCGAAGGTGTCGGAATAAATAATAACATCGTCTAAATATACCATTACAAACTTCCAGAGATATCCTCGTAAAACTTCGTCCATCAGACGTTGAAAGGTAGCCGGCGCGTTACATAAACCAAATGGCATTACTTTGAACTGGTAAGTGCCGAACTGAGTGATAAAAGTGGTTTTAGGTCTATCTTCAGGTTTCATCTCCACCTGCCAATAACCACTGGCTAAATCAAGGGATGTAAACCACTGGGCTTTTCCAAATGAGTCGAGCATGTCATCTATCCTAGGAAGAGGATAAGCATCTTTTATCGTAATACTATTCAACTCTCGATAATCAACACAAAAACGTAACTTTCCATTTTTCTTCCAAACTAGGACTACCGGAGCAGCCCACGGACCAGTGGATCTTTCAATTAACCCTTCTAATAACATCCGTTGGATTTCTTCCTCAATAAAATTCCGCTCATTTCTTGACGTCCGATACCAGTGTTTTCGCACTGCCTTATTATTACCAGTATCGATCGAATGTTGGATCAAATTGGTTCGTCCCAACTCGGAGGAATCCCACGCAAAGCTACCGTGGCGTTGAACTAAAAAGCGAAGTAACGGTAACTCCAAATCAATAGGAAGGACTCCGACTTTCATCTTAACGGTAATAGGAGTAGTTTCCACTTCAGATCCTATTTCCGTATGATAATATTCGACTTCTTTGGTAATCTGCTCATACTCCAGATGTGTCTTCTGCCCACAGTGATAGCATAACTGTCAGTCATTTTCAGCGGCAACCTTCTCCATGGTTAGTTGATTATAATGTTGATTGGTTAATGCAAATTCTCGTTGTTCCTCGGAAGGTACAACTCCATCATCACATCGTCCTCTACTCAATTCTTTTAAGATGATTGGTGAGAGTCGGCATACTGATTGATAGGTTATTAAATCATCTTGGCAGAAATAACAGGCGTCTTCCGGGGAGTATAATGAATTTTGACACCAACATTTAGCTTTCGGCCCCTTCCAATCATATACCCAAGTTGCTTTCTTAGGAGGCATCATCTTGAACTTCTGATCCAAATGTTGAAAATGTCCCCACGTATGGAAACATTGACCAAGGTAAATCCCTTCGTTAGTTAATACGAAATCTTCACATGGATATATGGCGTCTATAACAACGTTAGCGAACTTGCAGTCTAATATAACTGAAGATTCCGGAAGTGAATTACGCTTCTGAACTTCAGCTTTCCTTTTACTATTGCGATACCGATTATGCATCAGTCGTTTAGGTTTTTCAAACTGCATAGTGAAAAACACTCGTTCTTCAGGTTCATCGTCTTCAAACTCCTCCTCTTCTTCTTTAATGGAATCATCGTCAGTTTCTTCTTCGTCGGTATCGTCTGTATCTGATTCTTCTTTTGACTGAGCGTTAGAATCGACAAGTTCTTGTAACTTCCGTTTCTCTTGAGGCATCAGACGATATTCAACCGGTACTTCAACAGTCTGTTTATCCCAAATGAAGTTCATTGTGGATGTTTCGTAATCAATGTTAGCTTTTACTTTACTCAACCAATCGTTTCCAACAATGGCAGCATAAGATTCCGCTTCAGTGACTACAACATTAATCGGGATGGTAACATCTCGAATAGTGATGGGAAAATTTAACACTTTGCCTAATGGTCATTTCCTTTCACCGTTCACATTTATCATCATGGTAGTAGAGGGTCTATCAATAGGTATCTTGAGGTCTTTTAGTAACTGACACGACACAATACTTCCAGCAGCACCACTGTCGATAATTAGGGGAATTTCAGTTCCTTTTATCGTTGCATCACAATATAACGCAGTCGCCGTTTCTCCTATCTCTTGTTCTCCAAGATTCATTTTTCGAACTGTTGGTTTCCGTATCCCTTGTATTAACTCTGAACGACACTTCGGCACTACTTCCAATAATTGTCCAAAGGTTATACGAGCTTGTTGATTTTTAATGTCATCTACCATCGAGTAAGGAGGTACGTGTAGTGATATCAAGGGTTGAAGATTCGTCTTCTTTTTCTTTTTAATCATAGGAGCTTTCTTTTTCTTGGTCGTGGTACTGATGTTATTAACATTAGTTCTTTCAGCAAATCGGGATGATGGTTCCGCTACATCAGCAGCTACAGTTGGTTCAGCAGATCTAGGTATTTCATGTGGAACGGGTGGAATATTGATAGGTTTTGATGGCTCTTTTTCTTCCGATTTTTCTTCCGAATCAACTGGTCTAGGATATGGTTCGGCTCTTCACGTTTGACTCTTTCGCTGAGCAGGGTAAGCTTCGAACAGGGTATTCAACGATACAGAGGATTTATCAGGTTTCGCATCTACACCTCCCGTAGATACACCACTTAGTTTAAAGACGATTGTTGTCCATTATTAGCGGTCATATTACTTGCCGTATTCAGCTGTTTCAATATCTCTTGGACTAAACTCTGCGTATCATTAGTAGTCGAAATAAGCGGAGCAGTGGTTACAGCAGATGCAATTACAGGATTAGTTCCACTAGTAGTAGTCGTTGGGTTATTCGGACACCTGCGACTCACGTGCCCAGGCTCTCCACAGGTATAACAAACAATCGTTCGGTTGGGTCCCATAGGGACATTCGAACTTCTACCATCGCTTCGTGGTGGTGGTCGATTTCCTGTGACCTTCTTTCCTATCTCTGTGACTTGTTCAGTTAAAGCTGCAACTAGTTTTGTTAACTCCGTGATTTCCGACGTGGTTTGACCAGCGTAGTTTAATAACTTCATTTTTCCTGATCGTAAAGTAAGTTCACAACCTTTGGCTCTTCCTATCGCATCGGCTAATGTCTGATCCCCAAAAGGTTTTACCGCTATGTAAAGTTCAGGAATTAATCCAGAGACAAACTTTCGAGCTTGTAAGTTGTCGGGGTAGGCGAACGCTGCATCATTAACCCGCTGATAAAGTTCTTGAATGGACGAGGCATATTCATCTACGCTTTCATTCGGTTGTTGCTGCCTCTGGTCTAACTCTGTTGCCCACATTTTTACCATTGCTGCAGTCCGAAACTGAGTAAGGAAAGCATGTTGAAAATTATTAGCGTTGGCTGCTGCTGCCCAAGCGTTAATAGGCGCCAATACCGCTGCTTGATACCAAACAGCAGCTGGTCCTTTTAAATAAGCGGGGACAACTTGTAGTTTTCGTGCGTCGTTCCATCCATTAGCCNGCCAATACCGCTGCTTGATACCAAACAGCAGCTGGTCCTTTTAAATAAGCGGGGACAACTTGTAGTTTTCGTGCGTCGTTCCATCCATTAGCCGTCGCAGTTGCATTAAACTCGTTTAACCAGGTGATTGGATCTTGGTTTCCTCCGTTAAACGTCGGTACTTGCACAACGTTATGGTTTCGATTTTGTAAAGCATTGTTATTCACGGCTACCGTTGCATTTAACGTGTTCATTGCGTTTCCGAGATTATTAGGCGCTAACATTTGTCCTGTCAAAGCCTGTACGGCTGCTGTCAAGGCCTGTATATCTGCTTGGTTGACTTGAGGAGCTTGGTTGAACCGGTTAGGAGGTTGTCCTTGTCCTTGGTTATTCTGAAGATTCAACATATTTTCGTCTTCAAACAGAAGTTCTAGGTATAACGGTTCGTTAACAAAAAGAAGATTTCTGGGATATCGTAATATCGGAGAGGTTGGTGGTGTTATAAAGGACAGTTCGTATCCTAATGGTTTATCTTCATGCTGATAGTGGACAAAAGGGTCAAGATTAAAGTTCTGAAACCTTTCACGAGCAGTATATATCTTGATAGCTAATTTATCGTAAGAAAACGAGGCGTTTTGATATCGAATACTTGATATCAATTTCCGAATAAGATATTGTTGTCTTAATATCGTTCATTGACTATATTCGTAAAAATATTGAACTGTTTTTGCGGAGTAAGATAACGTGGGAATCTCTAATGAATACCAGTTCCAAAATCGTAAGAAATATCGGTCTGGTATTGTGAGAACAGGATGACAAATACGACAAGAATCGTCAGCTAATTCAAATAAGGGAATATTAGGATATGTCCGGTGTAACTGATCGTGGCGTTTCAGGAGATTTCTATTGTTCATACAATAGGAAATATTATCCTTTGTTATCAAATCAATTTAGGGGTAATCGTACGGTCGGTTTTCTTTGTTAGTTTCTGGCAGAAGGCACCAATTGTTACCGAAATATATCGGCAAGTAAAGGTCGACGGTTGGTTAAAATAAGTCATATAAACACCAGGTTATCAACGGGATTCTTACTCAATACTACTTATCCGGTATTGTTCGTTAAGAATCATCAAGATAAACACCTACAAAATACGATAATGATAACACACGTCGAGTAATAAATGAATAATATATCAAAACACACAGAAACAATAATTAACGATACGATGTATAACGGTTTTTATTAATAATGTTATGAAGGGATAGGATTAAGGGNGTTTACAACAAAGCGATAATAAATGATAAAAAGTGATAGGGAAAAGGATTTCTACTATAGCTGGTAAAATACAATCTTTGGTCCTCTCTACTTTTATCAACGAGTTGGTGAAAGGTATTTATATCTATTCTCCATCTCTTTTTCCAACACCATCTATTATCATATCAAAATCTAATCTACCGATAGGTTCTAAACACATAACGGAATATGTTTCATGGTAATATGGCTAATTACTATAATAGTGATAAAAATAACCATTATAAGCCCTCCTTTTGATAAGTTACGAATGACAAATTCTATCAGTTGATTATTATTAATCAAATTATCCTTCATTAACTCTTATTATAGATCTTATACATCAACATACATCAATAATCTTTTAAATTACAATTATAGACAATAAATAATATAATATAATAATAATACAAACAATATTGTAATATATGATTATTCTATCGCTACATATGTAAAACTAATAATAAAAATAATAATAAAATTGATAAAATAAAGAATATTATCTATATGGCTAATTTAATGTACACAACCTGCGGTCATAAATCGTTATGTAATGATAGAAATCGACATGGACACAAATTATATCGGATCGTCATATAAACATCGAATAACGTCGAACATCGGATGTGCATTTTATCGCGTAACAATATCATCAACATTGGACGTTCTTCTATCCATTAAGATTTAAGTTGTGGAATAAAGAGGGAATTACATCAATAATAAAAATTTTATTTTATGATATTTCATTATCAGATCATTTTAAAAATAATATCAGATATAATAAGATATTCTTTTAAAATTTTATTTCTCACACATTATACCTTAACAATAATATGAATAGCAAATTAAAATATGATAAATCAAAATTTTTTTGATTTTATCTTATTTATTTACTATACAGCCGAGGGAAATAACATAGAAAATTGTAATAATAAAAGGATTAATATAATATAGCAAAAGTTATAAATTCGAAATAAGCATATTATTATATCCTCAAACTGCAAAAATAATAGTTATATTAACAACGAAATTTCTAATTATTATCATCAAAATTATTAGTTTTTCTTATACTAAAATTAATAATATATCGGAAAATTCTAAGTCAAGTTTCGTTATAAATTATTTAATTCAGAAACTGGTGAATAATTTGTACAACTATATTAAATTAAAATTATTTTTTTTTGTAAATTTAAATTCTTAGTGCGCTTAAGATATTTAAGATAAAAATTATTTTTTAATACTTTGACATTAAAAAGCGTCAAGTACTATATTAGAATATGTTAGTCCGCCTAATTACTAATCTGGATGTCGAATTAATTTGGTAATTAACAAACGTGTTAGTACAACAAATATGATGTAACCATATGGTTTATTTATGTTACCCATTTTACGCAAAAAAAATATAATATTTTTTTTTTTGTGTTTATTATTATTTTTTTTTTTTTGTGTTTCATCGTCATTTAAATAAAGAAAAAATGGCTTTCGATTATTCTCAAGAACTTATGAATGATTATGAAAAATTACTTGAAATTGATAAAGGATATGACGTTATTATTTACGCTGGTGAAGATGAAGTTGAAATATATGCACATTCACTTATTTTATGTATTTAGGTCTCAATACTTTCGAGCGGCATTCTCTGATGAATGGGCAAATAAAAAAGATGGAAAATTTATACTTAATAAACCTAACATTTCTCCTCAAATATTAACAATTATTTTAAGGCAATATAAAAAAAATAAATATTTATACAAAATTTAATGTAACAATAATTTTAATAATCATTATTATAATATTTAATATTTAATATATAGGTTTATTTATTGTGGAAGGATCAATTTAACAGAATTACAAGGTCCAGAAATTTTAAAACTTTTGATAGCAGTAGATTAACTTTTAATGTTCAAGTATTAATTCAATGTATTCAGGATTATTTAGTTAACTACCACTACGACTTTTTACAACAAAATTCTATGGAAATTCTTTGAAATTTGAAACTTTCACAAGTTTATGGAATTATTGTTTTGATAAAATTTGTGAAAACCAGCTATATTATTAAGATCTGATAAATTTATCAATTTAAAAGAACCTTTTATTAGAATTAAATATTAAAACGGGATGATATGGGATAACTTAATTAAATGGAGTTTCGATCAGCATCCTTCTATTCAGAAAGATGCTAAGAAATGGAATAAAGAAGAAATCACAATTATGGAAAGAACACTTCATAATTTTATTCCTTTAATTAGATTTTATCATATGTCTTCAGAGGGTTTTCTTTTAAAGGTATATCTTTTTAATGCGTTACTACCTTAAGATATAATTAATATTTACTCACATTTCATACGAATTCAAATAAGGAATTAAATATTAAAATACAACCTCCTAGAAACCCAAATATGATTCGATTATCATTAACAGCAAACATTTTGCTCACTTTTCTAGTTTATTTATAAAATCAAGTATTAAAATGAACTAAGAAAAAGGAGCCGAAAATATAATTAAAAAAAAGAAACTTGAAAACATTAAAACTTGAAAATAAAATTATAAACAATAATAACCGAAAATGATTATACCGTATGACGAAATCAACCCTTGAAATATAACCCGAAAAAAAATAATCGAAGCCGATAATATAACGAACGAAAATGAAAATAAAATATAACCGAAAAAATACGATCGAAACGATGAATATGCAGTATGAAGAAACTCGAAAATAATAAAACTAATAAAATATAATCCTGACCAAAAGGAATCCAACAGTTAATATACAACTAAAAATGAAAATTAAATATATATATAAACCAGAAATGAAATAAGTTTAGTGCTATATGTCAAATAACTGAAATAAGGCTTACTAATTAGTAGGAGGAAAGAAGCGAAATGTGTTTATATTTTTCAATCTTCGAAATCTTCAAGCTTTGTCAAAAAATTTATATGATTTGCTTGATTTAGGGCTTATATGAAAATATGAAATTTGTACTTTTTCCCCAACATTTCTATTTCCATATATACACCTAAAAACCATAGATTTTGAATTATGGGTTGCAAACCCCAACTGCCTTTCATCTATAAATAGACTATAAAATTTTATGTTTTTATTACCTATAGAGGGTTTTCATATTTGATAATATGCCTGGAACTTGCGAATTTTTTAAAATTAAAAAGGGAATCTTTTTTAACTTTTAATCCAGCTATGGGTCCGATGTAAGTTGAATTAAGCTATAATAATTAATTAACAAGAACTTTTAAGTTAGTAAATTTAAGAATTTGACATATAATAAATTCATTTACAAAATAAACATTAATTACCAGTGTTCGATTTTAAAGTTTGGATCTATTTTACGTTCCTGAAATTTCACATCGTACCCAAACAATTTCAATCAAGGCAAACTCTTTAAGTCGCTCTTATTTGCCATAACTTTATATAATGAATTAATGATATAAAGTAATGATATTAAAGGAGCTTAAGTATGTTTGTATTTTTATCCCACGGTTCCTAATAATAATTAGTATTTATTAATGAGATAGATATAAAAGCCTATAAATAACCTATCAATATTAGTAATAATAGTTCAAAAAGGGCGAGATGTACAGTAGATACTGTATTACATATTTAACTGATAATAATAAAAATTAACATTGATAATCAATTTAAATCATGCTTGAATTTCAATACAAAATAATGAAATATAAATTTTAATTTGGTTCAGTTTAGTATTTATATAAATGGTTTTTTTTAGACAACCTCTTGCCTCACGTCGTACCAAAACTTATTGTCCTACTTAGAAATTAATGAACAAATATTGTGCAATCGCACGTGAAATCATCTATTTATGTCGTTTCGTTTTTTTCGTGTTGCGTAGGAGTTTTTCGTTATTAATCACATCAAGTAATCAATAGTTATAATTACCTGGATTTAATATTGTGATATCATTAGATTCTTGTTTAATAAATATTGAGCTGATTTATTGATTTAAGGAGTATATAAAAATAAATAAAAATATATATTATAATTAATTTTTTTTCTTGTAATTTACTCACGAGTTTATTGCTCAATGAAGAATGAGTTTAATTCAACTTCAAACTTATAATCCATCATCCATCATTATTAGAAACAAACACAAAGAATATGGTGCATTAATAGATATTTTCAGATTGGAGAAAGAGATTTATTTTTTACTTTTTGATTGTAATGAAATTTTCGCTAATCACCCCATTATTTTTAATCAACTTCGTAAAATTATTAATGAAAATAGATGTGGGCTAAATTTATTATTTTCTATTCATACGTTACTTTTGCGTTTATCACGTTTATCAGGATACCATGATGAAAAAATTAGTAAAATTATTGCAATATTAAAAATTATAATAGAAAATACAATTAAGTATTGTGATCCTGATGATGCTTTTAATACTGCTACTTCTCTACCAACACATTTCATTAATGATATTAAAGATCAAATAGCTCAAATGGATTTTTCATTGCACAAAGATGAAATAGAATGTCTGCGGCTCCTAAAATTGAATTATGGTCTCTTTTATATTGATAGAAACCTTATTCCTTTCAGACCAATTATTGAAGGGGGGCAATTGAAAGTAAAAAGATATAACGATCAATTTGTATATGAGTTAATTCAAGATGAGTTAATTAAAGATAATTTATTAAATTCGTGGGACTTATTTGAACAAAAATTTTCAATTTGTTGTGGTAGTGATTTGTTGAAGTTGAAACAAATCGGAGGTCGCCTATCTCATGTTGCAATGTCAGACATCAAACTTATTATTCCAATTTTTAAAGTTTCTTATTTTGGTGAATTTTTTGTCAAGCATTCTGAAGACAAAGACCAGTCTGAATTTCTTACAAGAGAAGCACTAGTTGGAGGATCTTTGATCATTAGAGACGTTAAAAATTTAGACCTTGATAAGCTGAAGGCACAAATAGTATGGGCCATTAAAGAAGCTAGTTGTTCAGGCAGAAGTTTATTCAATTCAGCGATCGTAAAAAACGTCGAAGATTTAGATGGCAACCCTATACATGATATGAAGGATTTGGTATGTATGTTTGAGAGTTTCTGTATATTTTTTTATTTTTTATGCAAAGTAACATAATAAACCGTTTTAAACTTGTACTCTAGATCACTTATCTGACTCAAATATTCAAGAATGAACATACTGCTATTATTGCATATGAAAAAGTGATCCCTGCTAATCAAATAGAGAACCCTTACAACTACTTTGATATTCGTTTAATTCCAGGAATCACAAAATTTCATAAAGAAATCACCATGAAAAGTTGGACACATGGTAATATACACCTGAATTTACCATTCTGGATTAAAGAATATAAATTGGAATATGCCAAGGTAGTGACTCACTTTAAACTTGAAACTGGAAAAAAGCCCGCTTTGGAATTTTTATCCGTACCACTAATTGAATTGGGGATAATATAGATAGTACAGAGCTAAAAGTTTCCATTTTATTAAATTCCAAAGATTATATTGATTACATTTGCGAAACTACTTTGAAAGAAACTCAATCTCAAATTCCATTTTTAAAGCTATCAAAAAGTAGAATATATGATTTATATCTACGTAATACCTTTGTTAATCAATGCAAGATTTTTCATGAGAAAATTGTATGGGAAAAGCAAATAAGCAAACCATCCAAAAATTTGATAAAAGATATTAATGATGCTTTAGATAACGCAAAACCTTATGAATCTTTGATTAAGGTCTTTTCGGAATATGGTCATTTGATTCGTACAGAGGTCAGTTTTTCTAGGGACTTATCGTATGATGAGGGACCAAATCAATGGTCGTTGTCAGACAAACAAAAATTAATTCCATTATATGATATTCTTGATGATGATATTAAGAGTCGAATTCAAGACTTATCAACAGATAAGATTTTAATGAAAGGGTTTACAAAATTTAATACCAATAAAACTTACTGCTATGATGTTCAATTTGAAGAGGAACTGAAGAGTGATGATTATTTAGTTGCAGGATCTGTTGTTGTGAATGACGAAAAATTAAAAAATTTACGTGCAAAATTTAAGTATATGAGCCGTTCTGGATTTTCGATATTTTTGGAAGACGATGAAGATAGTGAAGAAATCAAAACGTAAGCTTTAAAAAAGTATAAATAATTTAGTTGTTCGAAATATAGTTATTAATTATTAACTATTGTCAATTCATTTATTCAATAACGTACATATAGTGATTTCGATGTCGTTTGGCAAATAATCGGTAAACCGAAGAACGTTGGATACTTTGGTAAAGATAACAGAGATATCAAAGTACTTAGTGCACAATCAAGACTTATTAGATTACCAAAAGAAAAAGCTACCTATCCAATTCCTCCAATCTATTTTAAAGAAGAATTAACTCCAGGAACTATCATTGTAACTTTTATCGATTATGCTCTCCATGGTGGTTCAATTCTTGATGTGGTCGTAACATCTTGGTATGTTTGAACATTTAAGTTTAAAAAATGTATAATTGATATTGATCCTTTTAAAAAGTACGTAAAATTAAAAGCGCTAATTTAATATTTCAACCTCTTACATAGGTCTGGGAAAAGAATTGATTTGGAAATTATTAATCATTTAGTCGTTGATACTTCTGCCAAAACCAAAGCACACAAAGAACACGAAGAAATAGAGATGAGTGGTGATGATGATGAAGATAAGAAAGATGAGAATGAAGATGATGAAGAGGATATGGATGAAAAAAAGGATGAAGATGAAAAAGATGAGGAAAAAAAAGAGGATAAAGAGGATAATAAAGATTATAAAGAGGATAAAAATGAGGATAAAGAGGACAAAAAGGAGGTTCAAGAGGACGTTCAAAAGGATAAAAAGAAGGATCAAGAGAACAAAAAGGAGGTTCAAGAGGATAAAAAAGAGGATCAAGAGGACAATAAAGAGGAGGAAGAGGATAAAGAAGAGGAAGAAGAATATGATGAAGAGAACGGAGAAAATTTCCCATATGGGTTTGTTAGATTTTTTGTATTGGCATATGCAATTATTCCCAATAAAGAAGATAAATTTACTGCATATAATACGGAAGTATTTATCCGTGGTGAAGCTAGACAGTTTTCATGGAAGCACGTTGGACATGAACTAGGTGAAGAAACAGTTACTCACATAACTGAGAATATTTTTGAAAAGCGGACAAGTTATTTAGAGTATTCAAAATATATTATGTAATAATTTTTTTAATAATAAAGCTCTTTTATATTTATACACTATAACAATTAATATATTCAAATGCAGCAATACCTATGAACAATTAATGTAAGTTAATTGTTTTCGCTTGATTTTTTCCATCTCTATACTAAAATATTGAACTTTGAAATCATATTGTCATAATCAACTCTCTATACCAGCTGTCCAGCTCTCTATACCAACTCTCATTTATTTCTTTCGATGAAAGATCGTTTCTTTCTAAAATAAAATGCAGTATAAATTCACGGTTATCTTATTTATTCCAGCAAAGGGGATGTTTTTGAGCGGTAAGTCGCATATTCTGAATGTTCTAAAAACAGTTAATCTATATAAGTTTCTAATTAAAAACAATTGGATTTTTTTTTTTATGAGAAAGAAGGCTTGCAATAACTGACCTATTACTCGGTAGTGACTTGAATTTTATTTTCGCAAGGAAGGATGCGATTCAGCTGGTTACAAATATTTTATTCATGGTCAATGATAGTATAATAAAGCAAATGGGGTTCGGAAATTACCTTGACCATTTAAAGAAATAATCTAATTCATAGTCATTTCGGTCAATTCATTTAAAGTAATATAAATTCCTTTACTTTTATCCAATAATTATACGGATTACTCTCAATGACTCATGAACATTTAATTCTGACTAGAATTTTAGATTGTTATATTAACAACCTTAAATAGTAATTATCCGGATAGTTATATTAAATTACTAGTTAACAAAGATATAAAAGAGTTAAATATGAAATTAAAATAAATTGCTCTTAGTCGTAAAATAACGAACATGAAATTTCAATTTTTAAATACTGCAGTACTATCAGAAGAAATATTCCAAAATGCTGTTTTACGTATAACTACTGGTAATATTTCGAAAAAGAAAAGCAGGGAACGATTAATTGAAGAACACAAAAAACTAGAATATTTTGGTGATAAAAATGAATATGTTATTCATAACACCTGCAGTCAACCTGATTTAAATTTAAATCAACAACTTCGGGTATCCATAGCAAATTTACAAATCGATCGTATGCTACCCATCGAAAAATTTTTGTTGTGTCGAGTGATAACCAGATTCACAAAAATGAACGCTCTTTTAACCCTTGTAGAAGATCCAGAGGGTAATGTAGAACGACTTGCATTGTACAATTGGACAAGTCTACTCAAAGATAAAGAAAATCAAATTGATTGTTTATCTATCGACAAGTCATTTCTGCCCATAGGTACTCAACTTATCATCAAAAATCTATCTTATAAAGTTGCTGCTGATAATAACACCATAATTTATTCGAATAATCCTGAAGATGTTGTCATTTACGATCATAATGATAAGCTATTTGACGATTTAAAATGGTCTACAGATCTATTGAATGATAAGGAAATTAAAGAGAAAACTGCTGATGATTTCTACTGTTATGGGGATGATGATTTTGTTTCAAACGATTACACTGCGGCTGTTGATGAGTATTCAAATGGTATCAAACTGGAACCACAAAATGTCACATTGTACGCTGACCGAGCAGAAGCATTTCTGCGATTGTCTCAATTTCGCAATGCTCTCGATGATGTAGATATAGTTCTTAAATATGAACCTGGTCATCTGAAAGCAGCTTTTCACAGGGGTAAAGCTCTTTGTGACCTTAAGCGTTATCAAGAATCCATTACTACACTTCAAGATTTACATCAAAGAATGAAAATCATTACAGATCATAGGATTGCTCCAATTAGACAGAGTACGGAACAGTTGTTAAAACATGTGAAAATCTTAGCTTCTGAAAACAAGAATGGACAATATGATTATACACATATTATCAATGAGTTTTGTGAAAGTGCTAAAATTAGAAAAGGTCCAAGATTAGATCATGCTGATTTCTTATTTGAAGATATTGAGATTCGTCCTGTAGAAGGAAAAGGAAGGGGATGGATTGCAAAATGTGATATTCCTGAAAATACTTTGTTGATGGTCTCGAAGGCATTTAGTGTAGTATATAGTCATGAAGTCCTTGGACGTTTTATGAAAAGTAATATTCAAAATAATCAGACTACATGTATTGCATCATCTTTGTGTAATGAAGAATTAATAACTCGTATTACACAGAAACTTCTGACAGAACCTTATCATTGTCAGGAAGTGTACCAACTTTACAATGGCTTAAATTTAAACAAAACTGATAAAATTAACGAGCATCTAGTGAATGTTGATTTAATTGGAAGTATTGTCAAATATAATTCTTTTGCGTTGGATAATAAAATTATCATTGAAAATGTTGAGTTGAGTGGTTTGGGATTATGGATTTTGCCATCTTATTTTAATCATTCATGTATTGATAAAAATGTAGCACAATTTTTTATTGGGGATTTAATGTTTATTCGATCTCTAAGACCTATTTCAAAAGGAGAGGAGCTAATTATTAGTTACAGAAGTGCTGACAGCAGCGAAGAGATACGATTAAGGTATCTTAAATCAGTTGGAATAGATTGTCATTGTCGACTTTGTAAGTTGGATGATTCTGAATCACCAGAGGTTAATGATAGAAGAATTCGACTTCTTAATACTTTTGAAAAATTAATTAAACCTAGAATATTGAATGTCGCTAATCCTTCTCTCATTAAAAGATCAGAAAAGATAGTTTCCGAATTACATAATCTTAGAAAAGAACAACCAGATCTAGAATTTGATACATTAGAACTTAGTAAAATTCTAGCATTTGCTCATCGCAAAAATGGAAACTTAGCAGAGGCTCTTTCTATCCTGAAAGAGGTATACAATATATATAAAAATGTTCATCTGCAAATCGTTGATTGTATCATCTTTGATATCGTATTATTATATATTGATCTCAAGCAGATGGAAGAAGCCAGAAAATGGTTTGATATATTGTTGAAAAAGTTAGCGGAACCTATATTAGGCAAATTTAAGGATGATGAAATTAAATGGAAAAAAGATGCATTTCATTTAACAGAAAAAATTTTTCCAGTTATGAACTCGATCGCTAAATGTTTGTGACAATGAATGGTTATAACTAGTACATATTAAATGTGTAAGTATTAAATTGTAAGTTAATAACAGCATAAGCAATGGAAACAGTGCAAGTAATAACAATATCTGATAAATTATATTCCTATTCTAAATAAATAAATACAATTTGAAATTTAACGCTTACTAATTACATAAATGACTTTTTATATTTTTACGATCATAAGACAAAAGTAAAAAAATTTTTTTCAGATACATCGAAGTATTTTTTCCTGTTTCGGGCAATCAAGCTTTGTAATATGTTGGTAAGATGGGAGATTCTTAATTACATAATTTTATTTTAACGATAAATCTTTAATACGCATAATATCGTAGATTCGTCTTTATACAGTACAATATTAATAGAATTTTTAGTTTAATAATATTATTCACAATTCTTGTAATACTGTATTTATAATTTCAATTTTGTTAATAAACCGAGAATTATGATTCTCTTGTCATGTAATTAGTAATTACGAGATAAAAACTTCACATCCTAGTTAAGTCATCATAATTTTGGTCAAAATCAGAAAATTTGTTTAAAAATGTTAATTTATTTTTCTAATTATTCTTATAGAATCCCACTTCTAGCCGAAAGGGGCTTTTTTTACTTATTATTATAAAATTAAAACAAAAAAACACTGTATACAGTTGCCACCGGATATAGCGAACCCTGAGGTTTAGTTCGGTATATAGTGAATTCGTTATATAATATACCGAACTTCTGGATAATTTAGGCCAAACTTGTAGTCTTGCCAGAATTATAATTCGTTTGACATAAAATTTTCGAAAAAATTAGATAATCCTGGCCGGCACTATAAATTTGGCCTGGATTAGTATATAGTCACATGACTGTTCGTTATAGAAGATATAATAATAATATATAGGGGCTGGTTTTTACTTTTTACCACCAAAGATGACATCGCCCCTGTAGCGTTTTGGTTTTCAGTTTTCGTATTACTTCGTAAAAATAGTTATAAAAATCCACATGACTTAATAATTTGTCACCTTATGTCACGCCACTCACGCCCTTATTTTTTAGTGGTGAAAGATTTTTTTTCACTTGTTACCGAACACGTCTGTGAAATTGTACTTATAAACTTTGGGTCAAGTGGCGCACCCTTACCTCAATTTAGTATCAATTTAACGATCTAAATTTTAGCCTTCCCTTTTTTAATATAAACCATTCCACTTTTAAACAACAACCGTTCATGTGGTGTAATGGTGCATGACTTTTGAGCATTTTGATCTTAAAAAATTATATCAAAGATGCACTTTAAAAATTTGAATATCTGAATCATGATTCTTAAATACTAGTAAGTTTTTCGTTAAATTTAAATATTCGCCTATCATACTTTACCAAATCCATAAATTTTAAATAAAATTAATTGATCATAAATATTTTATTTGTTGCACTTTAAAGAAAATTTTACAATAACGTGTTTCTTGATGATGAATGAGATTCATTTATTAGAATTATCTTGAAAAAGGAATTTTTAAAATTCTTAATTTACTTGATCATCCTAAAACTCATCCCCCTTGAACTACCGCTGCAACCAATAAATTAAAGAAAAAAAATAAATCTATACAACTACTTATATTACAAATTCGGGAAGGAAAAGCAAGATCGCTAAAAAAAACCTTATGATATTTGCAACATATCTAAGAAAATTATCTAACTAAAGACAGATTAATACCCTCCGTACTATACCCCAGTAAACCAAGATAAAACAGGGCCTCTGAATACATATATAATGACCTTGTCGTACACTCAGGCTAGATTTTTTTGTGTGTTCATCGTACAGTTACACAATTTGCCTTTTTTGATGGTATTGTGGCTTGACGTTCGAAGTACACTTAATATGATTATCAAAAATTTTTTGTTGTACGGTTTATATTAATCTAAGATCAATTCGTAGTACATGACATAAAGAACAGATGTATATGATGTACAATTGAATATAGATTTGTAATACATATGATGTACGCGTTATATAATATTTTTATGGTTAGCAATTATAATTTTTTTTTTCAACGTTCTTTGTTTTAAATGTTTTAAATGGAAGAAAAAACAGCAACAGTGAAACGTAAAGCTTATGTACAAACAAAATTGAATTTTCCTGTAAAAGTAAATGATAGTCCTTCCACAGAGAGAAAGATACAAAAAGACAATTCTACACTCTTTATAAATGCTAAACAGGCAATAAAACCAAAAGCCCAAACTAAAACTCAAAGTAATCGAAAGATACCGATACTTGGTGAATTCTTAAAAGATCCAAAATTAGAAAAACTTAGTAATAATCAAGTTTATTGTCATTATTGTGATACTGGAACGCCTATTACTTTACATCGGATTAATGATGGCTATCGATTATGGCAGCATCTTGAAACAAATATGAATAAAGATAACATAATAAATACTGAATCAAATCCTTCCAAAAAACTTCGTACCACTTTACTGAATTTTGAAAGTAAACGAAAAGAAACTTTAAATACAGGAATGCATTTAGAATCATCAGGAAAAGGTAATTATTTAATTATTTAATAATGTTCAAAGAATAAAAGTAAAGAATCTTATCCAAATTCTCTATTTTTAGTGTGCCATGGTTTTTATTCTAAATCATTTGCAGCATTAGCACGATATGGAACATCAACAGATAAATACAAAATTTTACGTGATGATAATCTTTTTGATAAAAATGTTAAGGCACATGGATATATCAAAAGCAACGAATGTGAAGGTTATACAACATCCAAATATTGTTCCAAATGTGGTATTTTAGCACAAATGGATGCTGTACAAAAAAGGAATCGACGTTATCAAGAACTTATTGCACAAATTGATTGTTTGTTTCTCCTGAAAGAAGGTCAACCAATACCTGCAAGTATTATTTCTCAATTTGGAGATAGTTGGGCTCAATACTATATCAAAAAGCTGCATGAAACAATAATTACTTCACTTAAACATCGACCTGGACATACAAAATCAACAGAATTACAACAATTATGCACATATGTTGAAAAAGAAGTATCAGATCATTCCTATTATGTAATAGTTAACAAATATCCAGCACTTGGACGTATTATTGAAGCAGTTGAGACCCATGGGCTTGAGAATTGGGTTAGCCAATGTATAACCTTTTTAATTGACAAAACATTGGAAGAAAATCGACCTATATTTGTTGGAATGGCACAAGCTGTAACGAAAGTTATTGATAAATTGCAACGTGGTGTAACTTCTATGAGAGGAATTGGAGAGTATCATGAAAGTTTTATTGATTTTTTAGTTGTGCTTATGTCTATTAGCACTTTAGCAACACGTTGGCTCACAGCAAATTTGGCTGGACCAACAATTCGATTTTTACGGCATAAAAGAAATGAATCAGATATTTATTATAATATATATGGAATAAATACATCAAGTTTTCCAGATATTATTACAATGTGGCGTAAAGCATATGATTATGCTGGTCCTACAATATGAGCAAAAGATCAAACAAAAGTTGCAGAATTGATTGAAGTTTGTAAACAGCGGCAAAAATGGATTGGATGTGTGCCTATTGAAGATACTATAATTCCAACAACAATGACAATAGAGGAACTTCATAATAAAATTAGCAATTTTAAAAAAGCAACATATATTACAGTTTATGCTCTTTCAGCTTGTATTCCTGGAATACCGCCAATTGTGATTGCTGTCAATCCGTCAGACCAAACGGAAAAAGCAGAAATTAATACACATGATAACAATTTAATTATGAGAGAATTAAATCGTGCAGGAGCTATGACAATTGGTTTATATTTTGATGGTGCTACTCTTGATCGGAATTGGTTAGGTGAAGTTTATAGCGAAGATCCAACTTTTACTAGTGAACTTGCACTTAAAAAGGTAAGATCTTTAATAAAAGATTTTAAATAGCAATAATTAAAATGGACTTTTTTTTATTAGAATACTTCTATATTCAGTAAAATGAAATATCCTATAGCCTTACATTTGATGGATAATTCATTACCATTTATTTGTGGAACGGATATTTATCATTGTGTGAAAAAGGGTAAAATATTGTAAATATATGCTGTAATTATATTTGATTTTATATAAATAAATTTTTATTTGATTATTAAGGACGAAATATGCATAATAGTGGAACAAGAGTGTGTCCAATTGGATATTACATTATGTCTACTGAACATTTGTGGATTTTAAAAGAAAATTCTGAAATTTATTCAGGTTTAACAAGTAATATTCTTAATCCTAAAGATAAGCAGGCAGATGAATCAGCTGAGAGATTTTTTTCATCATCTGTTTTAAAAGGCAAGTAAAATGTGAAGTAATTTTAGTTAAAAAATACAATTAATAATTTATTTATTATTCATAGGCTTTACAGATTATTCTGTGAAAAATAATGATGACGAAATGTATGGTGACGCTTGTTACCATTTTTTTTGTGGAATTTTGTTCGAATCATGGAAATCACATAGCATGGCCCATATAGATCGTGTAGGATTTGCTTGGGGCGCATGCATTTTTTTTGCAGGAGTACAACATTTTTTAAAAGCAAATCAAGCCACGTGTAATGGAAATAAATTTGGAATATCTTGGCAATCATGCGATGATTTTATCTATCTGGGATTAACCTTGATATTATTAATTCAACAATGGCCAAATTTTTATTCAAATTATCCTTTATGTCCGTGGATGATTTCTACTGCCTTTCTTGAGCATATATTTGGCTGTGCACGACGGATTATTGAAGATTTTACCGTACTAGATTTCTTATCAATGAATGAAAAAATTTTAAAAAATATTATGATTGAAATGAAAGGTTAGTAATTTAACTAAAACTTATTAGTTATTTTAAAAATAATTAAATTAATTATATATATAATCTTAGGTGATTTAATCAGACCAGATAATAATGATGGTTATAATATCAAATTATCCACAGTTAAAGAAAAATTGCCAAAAAATTTGACGGATTTTCCATCAATTTTTGATATTGATAATATGATAGAAAAGGTATATATTACATTATTATCTTATATTTATCCATCATTTATTATTATTAATTGTATGTTACTGAAATTTTAGACTTCGTATGCTATGAAAATTATACTTTGCAGTCTTGGCATAGTAGTAAATAAGGAAATTTTTTCAGAATTAATTCAACAATCCTTACATTCACTTAAAAAAATAAATAATCATAATATACCTATGGAGAACACAAGTGAAACTGATGAACTTGAGGGTGAATCAGAGGATGAATTGGATAATGAATGTGATATTGGCAAATTGCTCACACGACATCAACAACGCATATTGAATAGATCCAAATTTCCTGAACATCTTGACGTTCCTAATAATGATTTAGATGAAATGGATAATGAAAATACTCAATCAACTTTGGAACTGGATTTTGAGGATAATTTTTTTGAAAAGATAAATAAGGCATTTGGAAAAACTCATGAATTGAGTCCATTAGCAATAATGCAAGCAATGTCATATTATCGAGGTAATTTGAATTTAATTTTTTATTATTCTTTATTTTCAATGTTTTAATAAATTATTTGATACTTTAGAAAAATATGATTACTTTACTCAAAAGGAAAAGAAAAAAGTTGGAAATAAAGCTACACTCAATAAAAATAATCTCACAGTAGTCACTGAACTAGGCACAATGGATATTATGGCTGCCGTTCGTCAGGACCGATTAAGTAATACTGAACATCAAGCAAGAACAAAAGGACGAATTACACGATGGAAAACTGCATGCAAAAAGGTCTTTGATTCCACAAAAATAAATCCACAATCATCTAAATTCAAAAGAGGAGATTTTTATTATTATTGCGAAAATAGTCATTCTATTGTCATTGCTGAAATTATTGCAGTATTTGAGGTAAATTATTTTAAATTTTTATTATTTTTACTAAATTTTTTTATTATTCTTCAAAATTTATGGGTTTTTTACAAATTTAAGAAAATTGGATCAAGCTATGTTCGTGTAGATTTATTATCTGGTTTAAACGAAGGAAAAATTCATGCACGCTTGTATGATCTCAAGCCGGATTCAGCATGTAAATTTATTCCGATTATAAGCAAAGACCGTACACAATTCACATGTGAGTCTAATCCATTTCGTTTCATTGCACATTTGGGTTCTGTATTAGAAGAATATCATGGTACTTCTCACTGGTTAGGAAAAACACTAAAATTAGGAGATCTTCAATATGCGACATATTTCCATTTTGTTGGAAAGTCCTGCGAACTTGAACAATCCATTAAAGAAGCAGAAAAAATAATGCGGATGAGAAAAAATAATGCTAATTCTAACGATGAATAGTTTTAAAATAGTTTTTTTTCCTTCTATAACCTTTAGTGTACATGTGATTTATCAATAAACTTTTGTCGTACATTGTATTTGCTTTTGATTCAACTTTGTCTGTACACTCTATTAGAACGCAAAAATTATATATAAATTTATGTAGTACATTTAATAATAAATTTTAAAATATATGTACACTCTTTATTAAAATTTTTATGTACACTTATTATAACTGTCAAGGACGAGGTTTCATATATGCGCCACAGTGGCATTCAGGGGCCCTGATAAAACCTTCCTTGCCATCTTCAGTTAAGTTGCTCGCATGTCAGTACCGCCCGCCATCAAATAATGTATCTACGACTTCCAATGTACCGTGCGATAGACAGCTCTGGTCCTTACTAGCACGTGACTTGGTGTGATTGGCCCCCAATGTTGATCGGCATATCCACAAAATTCAATTTTGATTGGTACTTTCTGCTTGAAAAATCTTGCCTAAAACGTATTAAAGGGCATCAAACCAAATCAACCACCAGAAAAGGCTAACCGCGTCCTAAAACTTCCACCGACACACTACTTAATAATTTATTTTGTAGTTTCAGTGTTTCTTTAAACATGGTTGACATATGTTTCTATTGTAAACGACCAAAAACCAGTGACGTATGCCAAAAATGCATTAGTAAATTATTACTACTGAATTGGACTAGCGGAAATAAATACATCGACAAGTTTATCCAAGAGTCTCAATTGAAAGTAAACAGTTATCGTGAATTTATAGAATGGATTCCTTTTAATAGATTAAGAAATATTGAATATTTAGCTCATGGCGGTTTCAGTACGATTTATAAGGCAATTTGGTTAGATGGGTTTGTTGATAATGTCCAAAGGTATCGTTATATTATTGATTATGATGTCAAGCCATCACTTAATGAAAATGAAAAAAAGGGAATTCACGTTGCATTAAAAAGCTTAAAAAATTCTTCAAATATTAGTGATGATTTCTTAAATGAAGTAAGTTTTTTTTTTAATATATATATATATATATGTAATATTTATTTTGATAAAACAACTTTATTATTTATTTATATTTAATTAATATTCAGTTGAAAAATCATTTACCATGTTTGAGTTCATGTGCAGCAGTACGCATATTTGGAATAACTCAAGATCCAGAAACATTGAATTACATGGTAGTAATGGATTTAATGAATGGAGGAAATTTAAGATCTAATTTATTAATAAAAAAATATAATCCGATTGAAAAATACTATAATTTAACGAAAATAGCGCATGCACTTCTAAATTTACATAAATGTAATTTAGTTCATGGTGATTTCCATAGTGGAAATGTTCTTTTATATAGTATTGATGCCTATAGTTCAAATTATATAAGCGATTTTGGATTAAGTAGACCAGTAAATCAAACTATTAATTCGAATGAAATTTATGGAGTAATTCCTTATATGGCACCAGAGATATTACGTGGGAAACCATATACTAAAGCAGCTGATATTTATTCTTTTGGAATTATTATGTGGGAATTTACATCTGGTATTCCTGCTTTCAACAATAGACCTCATGATTTTAATCTTTCTTTAGATATTTGTAAAGGTTTGAGACCAGAAATTGTTAAAGGTACATTGCCAGTTTATGCAAGATTAATGAAGAGGTGTTGGGATTCTGATCCTAATAAAAGACTAACAACTGAAGAATTACATCAAATTGTTCTTTTTTGGTATGATTATTATCCGAAAGACTACGGCAATAAAAGTATAGATATTCCTAGTAAGTTATAAATTTTTTATTTCATTTAATTATTCGAATCATATTATTACAAAAAGTTTATTAAAACATTTTATTTAGGTAATGAACAAATTACAAAGAATCATCCATTATCTTGTTACACAAGCAGAAAAATCGAGTACTCCGCAAAAATAAATGAAATTTTATCTCAGGAAGAACTAAGCACTAAATTCATAATAGATGAAAAAAAAGGAATCATTAATGAAATAACATTATTAAGTGAAAATTTAGGTTAAAAAAAAAAAAAAATTATATCAAATTTTTTAACATGTTTTATTATAATATTTCTTATTTTTCAAAAATTTTAATTTTATACTTTTTTTTAAAAAAAAATTTTCAACTTAGAAAACTTTAGAATTCCCGACTTAAAGAAATTTTAAAGAGTAGTCAATTGAGATTATAATGTATTTGTAATTATTTATTATTTTTTGTACCATTAATTTTTGCAAAAACTTTTTCTTAATTTATTGCGAAGAATCAACCAAATCAGGGCTAGTGGAAGTTTGGAAATTTTTTATTCTAGATTACTTACTTTATATATAAAAATTTCGAATTTTTTTTTTTTTTTTTGATAATACATTTTAAAAATATGGTGTATTTCGCATAGGTAGATATAAAATTTGTAATCATTTATTATATATATAATTCTAAATTCCTTATAAACTTTTTTTGTTAATAAACAATAAAAATCTTAGTTTATTTTTTTGAATATTAATAATAAAAATAAATAAAATCCGAACTTGAACACCCCAGGCGCGGTTTTATATGATCACGTGAAGATTATTTATACGGTTTACAGTAGGATCGGCATCGTGCATAAAGTAGAAACCACATTTGATATATGTGACATAATATGTTGAGAATATCTATTTAATTATATGTAAAAAAAATATTCTATGCCCAATAAAAAATATTGTCCAAACACTGTTCGGTTTTTTGTTTAGAAAATCGACCCCGTTCCGAACATTTACTTGACATTTATTGGACATTCATCATGATATTGACGTTTTTTATATGGTTAAAAATTCTCAATCTCCGCATCTTGTAATAAATTGTAACAAATATTGTATAATAGCGTGCGAGTGTCCGGAAACCCCATTCCGAATATTCCGAATATTTATCGGACAAACATTTTTTATAGGGATGTAGAATAAAAGAATTTCTCTTGTGTAATTCTTCGGAATTAATCAACTCCGTTAATGTAATACAAGATAAGCCAGATGACCTTATATAGGTTATTTATTGAAAACCAACATACATAAATACGTAGCATGTTTCGATTGTAAACGACCAAAAACCGGTATTAATTGTCTGACTTGCATTAGTAAATTATTACAACCGAATTGGACTAGCGGAAATTTATCTGTTGACAAGAAGCTCAACTGAATTATAATCAAGTTATAATAGATTAAGAAATATTAAATATTTAGCTGATGGCGATTTCAGTACTGTTTATTTATAAGGCGATTTATTATTTTATTTAGATGGGTATATTAATACAAATTTGGATGATGGCGTATAAAGAAATCGCTATTTTCTTGATTATGAGGATTATGAAATTGCAAAAGAAAAAGATGTCTCGTCGCCACTTAATAAAAATGAAAAAAGAGGGAGTTCACGTTGCATTAAAAAGCTTAAAAAATTCTTCAAATATTGGTGATGATTTCTTAAATGAAGTATTTTTTTTTTTTAAAAAAATATATGCAGTATTTATTTTGATAAAATAACTTATCATTTATTTACAATTATGAGTTCGAGTACTTTTTCAGCAATACGCATATTTGGAATAACCTAAGATCCAGAAACATCGAAGTACATGATGAATGGAGGAAATTTAAGATCTAATTTATTAATAAAAAAATATAATCCACTTGAAGAATTATTGTCATCTTCCGCAGCTTTATAATCAATTTTCTTTATTTTCCTTATTAACTTCTTTGATAGGTATAAATAAATGTTATAATAAAGATTTCAAAAAATCAAATTTAAAATTGCGGTATTCACTTTAATATTCATATTTTTTTGGGAATGCTTAATTCGTAATGAAATTTGCGCCATACTAACTATTTTCATTTGTCATTTTTTTTATTACTTTAAAAATTATAGTCTCATTTCTTATTCATTATTGTAGCACAATCCTTTTTCAGTTACACCGGTTGTTTATTTTAACTATATGAAGTAAATTTTACATTCATTTACTTCTGGCGTTAAAAAATAGCGGTTGGAACCGGTTAATGTTAACCGGCTAATTAGCCGGTATTAGCCGGTTATACCATAAAAGTTTAAAATCATATATTTTACAGTAGTACAAGACAAGTCACATGCTTTTTTTCATGCATTAAAAAAAGCTAATTTACAAAATACTCTGATATAAACTGTTGCAAAAAATGTCAAAAGAAACGAAAGAAACCGACCCTAAAGATTCAAATATTTATATTGATTGGTTAGAAAAATCAATTGTTGACGAATACATTAACTATTACGATTATTCAGAATTTAAAAATTTAGAACCGTTAGGAAATGGTTCATATGGGAGTGTCGTTCGTGCTAAATGGAGAAATTCTGATACTTTTTTCGCTTTAAAAACTTTCAACAGTGATAAAATAACGCTAAAAGAAGTTGTTAATGAGGTATTGAATCTTAATATTCTTATTTTTATTAATTTTAAAACTTTATAATTTTTATTTATTTATTTATTTATTTTACTAAATTCTTTACAGATAAAATCACAAAAAAAAGTCGACGTTCATGAGAATATTTTACGATTCTATGGCATTACAAAAATAGAAAACGGCAAGTATTAACATATACAGTATATTATTATTGTTACAGTATATACAGTATATAATTACTTATTTTCTTTATGTATTATATTTAGAAAAAAAATATGTGTTAGTTTTAGAATATGCTGATAATGATACATTAAAAACTTACTTAAAAGAGAAATTTAATGAACTCAATTGGAATGATAAATATCAGTTATCATTTCAATTAGCTAGTGCAGTAGCATTTTTACATGAAAATGATATTATTCATCGTGATCTGGTATAGTTAACTTTTAAAATAAACTTTTTCTTTTTTAATAAAATATGCTTAATAAGTTTTCTTCACCCATTTATAGCATGCAGATAACGTACTTGTTCATCAAAAAAAGATCAAGCTGGCAGACTTCGGGTTGTCAAAAAAAATTGCTGAAGCGTCAAGTAACAGTACATCGAAAATTTGTGGTATAATACCCTTTGTTGATCCAAAAAGTTTAAATGATCAAGATTACAAGTTAAACGAAAAATCTGATGTATATAGTGTTGGAATATTAATGTGGCAGATATCAAGTGGCAATCAACCATTTTCCGATTTAAACTATGACGAAGGTTTAATGTTATCTATAATAAATGGTAAACGAGAAGAAATTATTGATGACACACTTATTAATTATAGTAACTTATACACAGGTAATGATTATACACAATATTTGGTTTCAATGGAGAGTGTATTAAATATTAATGATACTATTTATATTAATAACTAGAATGCTGGAAATATGAACCAGATGAGCGTCCAAATATGCAAGAAGTTGTTTTAATTCTTAAATCAATAGTTTTTCCCGACAAACATCTTGAAATTTTAGGTATAAATGGTAGTTCAAATATAAATGATGATTCAGATATTAATTATGATAATCAAGATATAAATGATGAATCAAATATAAGTGTTAATTCAGATATGAATGATGAATTAGATATAAATGATTTTTCAGATATACTAAATAATATTAGCAGTTTACAAGGTCAGGCATCTATTCGATCAGGGATAATGAGTCTTAAAAGTAATCAATCTAGCACATCATTTCAGACGAATTCGTCAAAAGATTCGTCATTTGATATTATTAATGATTCATTAGTTGACAAATTAATTGCATTTATCATTAATAAACATGATAAAGGTTATAATTTTGATCAAATTCAACAAATAATTGAAATAACATTGAAATGTAATCAAATTATAAATGATCTTATTAATTGGCTAACGAAAAATCAAAATAAATCAGCTTATATTTGGCTTTTTGGATTATTTTATTATTATGGCATTGGAATAGAAGAAAATGACAATAAAGCATTTGAATCATTTTCAAATGCAGCAGAAAATAACTGTTCAATAGCACAAATTTATCTTGCTAAATGTTATGAATACGGATATGGAACTGAAGAAGATAAAAATCTAGCATTCAATTGGTATCAAAAAGCTGCAAAAAATAAAAGTATTGTTGGACAATTTTATTTAGGATATTGCTATGAATTTAATATTGGAACTAAAAATAATGATAATAAATTTATTGAATTGTATAAAAATGCAGCCAATAATGGAAATACAACTGCAAAGTTATATCTTGCAAATTGTTACAGGTTAGGTAAAGGAATAGATAAAAATGAATCTAAAGCATTTGAATATTATAAAATATCAGCAGAAAAAAATTTCATAGATGCTCAATATCAACTTGGAAATTGTTATTATTATGGAGTTGGAATAGAAATTGATAAAGTTCAAGCTTTTAATTGGTACAAAAAAGCGGCAAATAATGGAAGTATTATTGCAAAATATATTCTTAAACAAAATTATAATAAGAAAACTAATGCTAAAAAAAACAGAAGTATAGAAATTAAAATTCATAAAACAATCTATTTTAATAGATTAAATCAAATTGGATTTAATAATTATAATGGTATTAGAACAAAACAAAATTATAGTAAAGCATTTTATTATTTTCAAAAGGCAGCAAAAAGTGGAAATAGGGCTGCACAGTTTAATTTAGGTTTATGTTATAGAAATGGTAAAGGTGTGAAAAAAAATAATAGAAAAGCATTTCAATTATATCAAAAATCAGCTGAACAAGAATTTTTAAATGCACAATTTCAACTTGGATATTGTTATGATCTTGGAATTGGAACTGAAGTTAATAAAGTAAAAGCATTTGAATTATATAAAATCACAGAAGAAAATGGAAATAAATTAGCACAATTTAATTTGGGAAATTGTTATAGAAGTGGTATAGGTGTAGAAAAAGATGAAATTAAAGCTTTCAAATATTATGAAAAATCAGCAGAGCAAGGATATTTGAATGCTCAATGTAATCTTGGATATTGTTATAATTTTGGAATTGGAATTGAAGTTAATAAAATAAAAGCATTTGAATTATTTAAAATCACAGCAGAAAATGGAAATAAAACAGCACAATATAATTTGGGAAATTGTTATAAAAATGGTATAGGTGTAGAAAAAAATGTAATTAAAGCTTTCAAATATTATGAAAAATTAGTAGAGCAAGGATATTTGGATGCTCAATTTCAACTTGGATATTGTTATGATTTTGGAATTGGAACTGAAGTTAATAAAGTAAAAGCATTTGAACTATATAAAATTACAGCAGAAAATGGAAATAAAACAGCACAATATAATTTGGGAAATTGTTATAAAAGTGGTATAGGTGTAGAAAAAGATGTAATTAAAGCTTTCAAATATTATGAAAAATCAGCAGAGCAAGGATATTTGGATGCTCAATTTCAACTTGGATATTGTTATGATAAAGGAATTGGAGTTGAAGTTAATAAAATAAAAGCATTTGAATTATATAAAATTACAGCAGAAAATGGATATAAAACAGCACAATTTAATTTGGGAAATTGTTATATAAGTGGTATAGGTGTAGAAAAAGATGAAATTAAAGCATTCAAATATTATGAAAAATCAGCAGAGCAAGGATATTTGAATGCTCAATGTAAACTTGGATATTGTTATTATAAAGGAATTGGAGTTGAAGTAAATAAAATAAAAGCATTTGAATTATATAAAATTGCAGCAGAAAATGGAAATAAATTAGCACAATTTAATTTAGGAATTTGTTATAAAAGTGGTATAGGTGTAGAAAAAGATGAAATTAAAGCTTTCAAATATTATGAAAAATCAGCAGAGCAAGGATATTTGAATGCTCAATATCAACTTGGATATTGTTATAATTTTGGAATTGGAACTGAAGTTAATGAAACAAATGCACTTGAATTATATAAAGAGGCAGCTGAAAAAGGACATAATTTTGCACAAAATAATCTTGGAGCTTGCTATGAAAATGGTAAAGGCACAGAAAGAGATTTAAATAAATCTGTTTACTGGTATAAAAAAGCAGCAGAAAATGGAAATAAATTAGCACAATATAAATTGGGAAATTGTTATAAAAGTGGTATAGGTGTAGAAAAAGATGTAATTAAAGCTTTTAAATATTATGAAAAATCATCAGAGCAAGGACATTTGGATGCTCAATATCAACTTGGATATTGTTATGATTTTGGAATTGGAACTGAAGTTAATAAAACAAAAGCATTTGAATTATACAAAATAGCAGCTGAGAATGGAAATACTGATGCACAAAGTAATCTTGGATATTTATATCAAAATGGTGAAGGTACAGAAAAGGATTTAAACAAAGCTATTTACTAGTATAATAAATTAGCAGAAAATGGAAATAAAAAAGTAGTACAATATAATCTAGATAAAATAAATAGTGAAGAAGGAACTGAAAAAGATGAAGTTACAGCATTTGAATGTTATGAAAAATCAGCAGTACAAGGATATTTATATGCTCAATAACAACTTGGATATTGTTATAATAAAGGGATTGGAACTGAAATTGCATTTAAATTATATAAAATAACATCTGATAGAGGCAATCTAGATGCACAATTTGAACTTGGATATTGTTATGAATTTGGAATTGGTACTGAAGTTGATAAAACAAAAGCATTCGAATTATATAATATAGCAGCTAAAAGAGGGCACATTATTGCACAATATAACTTTGAACTTTTATATGAAAGTGGAGACAACCATATTTAATAAACTACTATTTTTATACTGCTCCATAAGGTTGTCAATAAAGGCAGAAAATGTTTAATAGCTTTGCTTCTATAAATATTTATAACTAGTATGTAAATAAAGAACGATGAATGATTACATGTTTCTGGTAGAAATTTAGCTTATAGTAATAATTATTTCATTTCGTATTAATAAAATAAAAATATAATTATAAAAATCATAAATAATGTAAGTCTCGTCAGCTTGCTTTTATTTATTATAATTCTAAAAATGTAGTATCTAAACAGAACAATTCATCGCATTGTAACAATCAAACTTTTTAAAATTCGTTAAAGCAGAATTTAAAAAAGAATTTTTTTTTTTTTTTTTGTAATTCACATCCTGAAAAGGTAACTAAATCAGGTAACAATACTGTTATTTAAACGTAATATATGAGCTGGCATAACTCATTCTATATTTTGGTACAGACTATGAACTATTACGATATTTTATTATTTTCATCTTTGAGATATTCGTATGCATAGGTTCGTAATGTGATGAAAAATAAACATTATTGACAAAATTTTCTTCTCACAAAAGAATTTTAATTTTTGAATTCTTTTTAGCAAAAAGTCATTGATAAGAACTGCCATAATGATTATCTTTATTATTTTGTGCAAAATCTGGCGATTTCAACCACTACAAAAATACTAGCTGGATAACTGCTGTGAAAGTTAAATGGTTTAGCAGGAATAAATAAATACCTACATAACAAAAGCAAATAAAATTTAATGAATATTTACAATTAATAATTTTCTGGATTGACGGATATAACTTACAACTTTTATCTATAACTAATTTTTATGTTGCAGAATAAGTTTAATAAACCAATTCATTTTTAGTTGATTTTTTTTGTTTTTGGAGTTCAGTTATCTTAACTTTCAGAATTGGCTTCGTTTACAACTTGTTTTCTTTATTTATTTCTGTGATTTAATTTTTTAATACATTAAACTCAAATTAACTAAATTTTCATTCACTATAACAAATATGAAAAGATTAGTGTAGAAAATTCCACGTCAACCAAAAATCAAAATACGCTTAATCACATATAGAGGCGTATTTAATTTTAATTCTGGCCAGCAAAAAATGGCATTTTGTACGACTCAATAAAATTTACGATAATCTGATAATCTATCGAAAATAGCCGAAATAACGTAAAGTTAACAATAATTTGTATTTAAAGTTTTAGCATGATTGTAATTCCGGTTTTTCTTTATTTTTTTATTTTTTTATCTTCCATCTTCTAATAAAGTACCACCTTATATACTGTATTTTCATACCGTACAATATTATTTTGTTATTTCGTATATTTATAATCTCTACCACCTTTTATAATTCAGTGCATGAAATTCAGGCCATTCGTTCTAGATATTTTTGGCAACCCGCCTGATACAAACATGTTATAAAAGAATGAAAACCAATGGAATGAATGAGTTTTTTTTTTGAAATAAGTTGTTAATATAAAAAAGTTTTTTATTATTTTATCTTTTAATATATAATAATATAATACAATCTTAAATTTTATTCTTATTATTAAAGTCTGATTTTAAAACCATAGATTACAGGACTCATATTGCTGCGAAGCTACTTCAAATAATATGGATGGTGAGGGTAGGGTACAGGAGCAATCTGTAAAATGGTAGGTGATTAAATCACGAAAAAATAAGTATTTATTTTTTTGGGTTCGATTCTTAAAGTAAGAAAAGTTAAGTAAAATCAATAAATATATTAAATAAGTCGTATCAGTTGTATATATACTGTATATACGGAGCGTTTTATTTAATAGGTAGATTTTTGTACAATCATCTAATAAACTTACAAATTGCCACTACCTTGCAAAAAGAAAAAAATAAATAAAAGGCTGATTTATATAGTTTCAAAATTATCTAAAAAATCATTTAGCATGACATATGCTTGCTTTTATTTATCGATAATACATTAAAAGTCGCCGTTTTCATTTTTACGTAAATACTGTATGTTACAAGTTTGGTTGTTCCACATGTTGGCATAATATGAATATTGATATAAAATGTGTAATTCACAGTATATTCTTTTCTAGGTTTATCTCTTACATCGCTAGATGTATGAACTGATTTCTGTATAAATTCATTGTGTTGTAATGATTGAATGGCATTTAATACTGCTGGATTGGATGAGATGTTTTGCGGTCAGATCAAAGATAGGTGGGCAAATAAGAAATTTCGTGAAATGTAAATTTTTTTTTTTTTAGCTTATTATATTGATCATGTCGATCAATATATAATACATAGCACATTTTCAATCCCTGACGGACTGACCATAGGCTATGGGGCCTGGAGACTGATATTGGAACGCCCTGCCTAATAACTATAACTAGAAATTAGCAGTTACAATTATATTTCTTTTACAATATATCGCAAATCATACCTAAATTGACTGCGAAAACAAAAACTAATCAAAGTACAACACGTAATACAAAAAAAGCATGATGCAGTGTAACCGTACGACCTGTAAAATGACGTAAAAAAAAAGTTTTTTAAAGTTTTTTCCTAAAAAAAAAAGAAAAAATAACGCAAACAAATGTATTCAAATAATAATGATATTTCAAAAATTGATGAAGAAGAAGAAATTTTCTTAAGAGAATTATTAAAAGAATTTTATCATCAATTAATAACAATTAATAATTATAGTAATTATGAAAATATTTTAAAGGATTGGATGAAAGAATTTTTTGATAATCAAGAAAATAAAAATCCTGAAATAGTTTTAAAATTAATGGAAAATCATAAAGAGAATAAAAATTGGTTTTCAAGTTTAATTGGATTCTTTTATGAATATGATATAAATGATTCTAATATTTATATTAATAAAAATAAATCATTAGAATTATACATGATATCAATTAATAATAATAAAAACAATAATAATAAAGATAATATAAATAATGATGAGGAGGAGGAGGAGGATGAAAATAAAACAAGTATGTATCAATTAATTAATATTATTATTGGAAAATATTTATTATCTTTATATTATTATAAAGATATTATCTTAAATAAAAGAAAGTTGATTTCTAAAGAATTTAATAATTTAGAAAATGTACAAGTGATGTCACATAATCAGTATGAAAATTTTAATGGGTTAAAAATTTGTATATGTAATGATGAGATAAATACTATAGAAAAATATTTTGAATCATTTGATAAAAGTTCTAATAATAATCAAATAGATTTAACTAAAGAGAAAGAAAAATTGGTAGAATTAAATAATTTAGGATTCTGTTATCAATATGGTATGGGTAAAGTTAAAGATGACTTTAAAGCATTTGAATTTTATTTACAATCAGCAGAAGGAGGAAATTTAGGAGCACAAAATAATTTGGGTTATTGTTATCAAAATGGGATAGGAATTATTAAAGATGAAAAGAAAGCAATTGAATGGTATTTAAAAGCTGCTAATGGAGGTATAAATTTAGAAGCACAATTTAATTTAGGTATATGTTATCAATATGGAATAGGAGTAGATGAAGATAGTAAGAAAGCATTTATATGGTATTATAAATCTGCAAAAGAAGAATATTCACCAGCACAAAATATGTTAGGTAATTGTTATCAAGATGAAATTGGAACAGAAAATGATTTAGAAAAAGCGGTTTATTGGTATAAAAAAGCGGCAGAAAATGGAAATAAATTTGCACAATATAATTTAGGAAATTGTTACGACGATGGTGAAGGTGTAGAAAAAGATGAAATAAAAGCTTTTAAATATTATAAAAAATCAGCTTATCAAGGGTATTTAAATGCTCAATTTCTACTTGGGCTTTGTTATCATAAAGGAATCGGAACCGAAATTAATAAGACAAGAGCAATAAAATTATATAAAATGGCAGCTAAAAGAGGACATCAGATTGCAAAATTAACTTTAGAGTATTTTAAATATTTAGATAAAGATTTAGATTTTAATAAAAAGTGACTATGATGGATACTAGGAATTTGGAAAGTGTGTAAATAAAATGTATTATAGTAGCAAACTTCGAGTGGTAAAGGAATTAAGTGTAAGTTTTAATCAATGAATTTTTAGTACTATAAGATACAGAGAATGACTGTTAATTGTGCTATATAAACTGGTTTCAAGCTTTTATTTATTGATGCACAATATATTATGAGTTCGAATCGATCTTGATGAATGAAAAGATTAGAGTAGCTGCCAATATAAATAGGCTTGCATCTATGAACAATTAATATCTTTTTTTTTTGATAGAATTTTTGTATCTCGATTTATTATTTATATAATTAAGTTTATCACAATAAAATAAACTATATTTTATGTTAAAAAATCTGATTAATAAATCTTTGTAATAAAAAGCCTAATCTATAAAAAGGTTATAAAATTTCGATTTATCATTTTGTAATTCTTTAATTTAATGAGAAAATTATATTTTATTGGCGCTATATGTAGAAAGAATTGGCCAATATTGGTTTAGAAATTCTCACAATATGATTGGATAATGATGTCATAGAAAGCAACACAATCAATAACAAATTAAGAATTTTAAAAGCTTGAGAATACTTTTTATTTTTACGATTAATAAATATAACGGATTTTAAGATTATAATTCTATACCCTTTGCCTTCTCACCAATATCAAAAATTCTAATAAATTATTCATTAAAGCTTCCTGAACCTAACCCAGTTTTTAATTTCACTCTTACAATTATTTTATGTACATTTATTTCGCTAAACAACAGCAAAATTAACTTTTTTTTTTATTGGCTTTAAATGAAGCTGCTATGTGTAAAAATGAACTTATTTTTCGTCTGCGTATAACTTGAATAAAAAAGTATATCTATAAAACCTTCTTGAATTATAATTTTTTTGTATGAAAAAATTTCGGGAATTCATTTAAGTGATATAATAAGTGATGCTTGAACAATGATTGTACAATGAAAAATGGTGTTGCTTAATAATGTTAAGAAAAAGTATTTCATGCCAACTCATAATAGTATTTTATATGAAGAAGTAATAATGAAATTCAATAAATAGCAATAATAAAATAAATGTCAATTAACAAGAGGGTTTAAATAATTTAATGAGAATTAACAATTTCATTAAAAATAGTTTATTTTACAATTTAATTTATAGTTATTTTTTAATAGTTACATGTCCAGAGAACTTTATTCTAGAACGTGTCACTTAAATGTGTTTTTTGATGCAAAATTTAAAGAAAATAATAAAACCGAGTTTAACATATTTAAGTTTTAAGTAAATCAGTATAAACTTAATAACTTTTCCGAGTTTAATTTTTGCACCAAGCTCTACTTTTTTTCTCTATGCTTATAATAATTACGTATATACGTAATTTATAAATATAATTTATCCTTTTTAGTTTCGTAGAAGTATATAGTTCTTCGTTACACCTCGGACTAATAAAATGTGTATTTAACATTTATTATAAAGATATTTCTTTAACATTTTATTATTATTCAGAATTAAATCAAAGTTAAAACCATAATTATAAAAAAATTAAAAAAAAGAAAAATAACGATTAAGTTATCGTAGGATATAGAACAAGTCCTACACTACCTTGTAACGCAAGTGTTATTTATGTAATCGTATTTCCTTTCGATTCTGTGTGGATTATATATTATTTCACCTCACTCTCCCTCCATAGAACGCATATTATTTTTTTTGTAATAATAAAATAAATATGTTACGTGTAACGTGTGATACAGTAGATTTAATTTGTTATACCCCTTGTGAATGTGAAAATTAAGTGGGCTTGTATATGATTTATTGAATGAACTATTATATTAACCTATTGTCCCATACGATTATGGCAACTCTCGGAAAAAAAAAGTCATTTTATTTCAAATACTAGCTTTTATCTTGTAAATTTTATCATTTCGTTCCATATTAAGAAATATTAAGATTTTTTTTTTGCATAATCAAACACTTGAGAAAAAAATGTTTGATCTGAAACAATATTACGTGTCAAAAAAAAAAATTTTTTTTTTAAAACTGGCTTTTTAACTTGCAAAATATATGATTTTTTTCTATTTTAAGTAGAGCTATAGCAAAAAATGATAGTTAATTGATGATTCCTGCGAAAAAAACTGTATTGTATGTCCGTATAAGAAAGTATAAATTATGGAAAAATTGTTGAAGCCTCGTGAAATTTTTTTTTTTTTGATAATATTGATTGAAGCCTCACGAAAATTTTTTTTGAGAAAGAATTTTTTTAATTTGAATTAATTTGAAAAAAAAATAATATGGTTAACATCGTAAAATAGGTATTATTTTCAGTGTTTATTAACGAAAATATTATACAAAAAAAAATGCCATCTAAGATTTCTACAATTGTTACATACATGATTCCAACGAAAGACTTACACAAGAATATACGGTTAAAGAGATTACGGCTGTGTCAAGGTTGGACGACGAAAATAATTTATTTGAAGATAAAAAGGATAAAAGCATTTATTCCTTCAGACAAGAATATTGAGACTCAGATTGAAGATTTTGAATAGGGTTCCGATCGGTACGGTTCGGTTTCGGTTTGAGTCATACCGAAACCGAAACCGAATTTCGGTATCAGTAATCGATAATTTACCGAATTTTCGATATCGGTAAACTGTATAACCGAAACCGGCCGGTAATTACCGATTACCGATACCGATTTACCGAATTTACTACTCCTCGATGTATTTATTACAAAACCTATATAAAAAATAAATCCTATCAATAAACAAATTTAAGATTGAGATCCTTGGATTTAGTATACGCTAGGTGTTTATATAAAATTGTAATCTATTGTATGATTGTTATCAATTAATAATAAACGCGTTACTATTTACAGCAAATTTCAAAATATACGGGACACTTGAGAAATTTGATTGTCGGGTTGTCGGGTAGCCGGGTTACTCGGCAGTAGGTTATTATATAATCTGATATACTACTATTCATTATACTCGTCACGTGTTATTTATACTTTTCTAATAAACAACCTACTGCCGAGTAACCCGGCTACCCGACAACCCGACAATCAAATTTCTCAAGTGTCCCGTATATTTTGAAATTTGCTGTAAAAAAAAGAAAAATTAAAAAAAAACTATATATATATGGACTAAAAAAGATTATCAGTTTGCCAATCACAAAATATAAAGTCAGATCGGTAAATCAGTTCGATAAATGATAAAACCGATACCGAAAACCGAAATTACCGAACCGATCGGTAAATTACCGAAGTGTTAGGTCGGTAATTTTTGATGCAATTACCGACCGAAAACCGAAAACCGATCGGTTCGGTTCGGTAATTACCGAAACCGATCGGAACCCTAATTTTGAAAAGGGGGGACGTGATATGTTTAAGGAGGAAATTTGTAGCCTGCGGAAGATGGTATACGATGAGTTTTTATAAAATTAATATTATTTTTCTATTACTAAATTGCTAAACATTATCTTTATTATTTGATAAAATAATAAGATCAACGCGACCTCTATTAAGGTGATCGATGGGATACAATGCTTGAGTGTTATGTTGGTAGGTATCACTACCAAAACTGTCAGAAATGTCAATGGAAGCTCTGTATTGGAATTTTATGTCGAGGAAAACCTTGGAGACTGAGAACCCGGGAGTTTTGGGTTAAAGTTAATCACGATCCAAACATTAGATATCTTTCGAATAAAACCAATTCCATCAATCAAAACATGAAGTCCACAACGGCCATTATCGTGGGTTTGATTCAATATGAACCTCCGGTAATTGATGATACGACCCAAGAAGAAATAACCGCTGGAAAGCACGTAGTTAAATTGGAGGACATATCATTGGTGTCTACCAACCGTAATAATACTAATGGTCAATCGTTAAATTTGCCATGGATGAATGCTCAATCAACCGGTGAAAGGAGTAGGACCAGTACTTAGCCCAAATGAGTCAATCGCAAAACCAAAATCTTCCATCAGCACTAGAAGAAAACCCGATTCCGAATATGTCTACAAGTCCTGTCAATAATGAGGGGTCCTCGTAAGATCCTCAAGATCAAGAGGCAGGTTCAATGATTACTTTGAAGAGTATGACTCCCATTTTCAAATTTGTATTCCTTTTGTTGAGATGCGTTGTATTATATATATACTAACTAAAACGTTCTTGAATAGATATTATTCCTTTGTGAATTTATGGCTTGAGATGCGATTAGCCGCAGCATAAACCGAAAATTTTTTTTTCAATATATATATATTTTTTTTTCTTTTGGTTTTTTCTTTTAACTGACTAACTGATTTTGTTTCTTTAACCGGATTTTTTTTAATTTTTTTTCTCTCTATAAACTATATAGTAATATTCTTTTCCTAATTATTTTTTTTCGATCAGTCCTAACTTTTTTTTTTGTTCTTTCGCCTTTTAGGTTTGGATCAGGCCAGTCTGCGATGTAGTAAAAATAAATATTCCTTTTTTTTATTTAAATATATTTTATAATAAAAATAATACAGCCAAAAAAAAATAATAATAAATCAATAATTTTTTAAATTATTATAGTGAGAAAGTCCAATAAAAAATTATTAAATATTTCTATACACTCTGTATCTGCAGGATAATGAAATATTTTACTTCTATAGTTCTATGGATAATTAAAATTAGTTTTAATACGTTTTCCTATAAATAATATTTTATATTTGATTTAAATGAAAAAAATTAAATATTAATGTAATTGATTAAAATGAAAGTAGAATAAAATAACATCGAGCCAAATGAATATTTACCACTATTGTCATGAGGTTCTACATTTAAAAATTCTTCATTTCTTCTTTTTTTAAAAAGGTTGAAAATTTTTGAATTGTAGAACTTAAATTTTGTGATTTGAAACTAAGTAAAAAATTATACGGTAAATTAAATAATAATTAATTGTGTCATTTAAAAGCATTTTTTTATCATTATTTTAAATACCTTTCAGTGTTTATATCAAGCTCTAATTCTGCTGAGATATATCTAGAATCTAAATTTTGAATTGTAGAACTTAAATTTTGAGATGATAAACTAATTAAAAATTAATAAATCCAAATAATTAGTTGTATCATTTAAGAATTTTTTTTTTTTCTTTTTGTTATTTGAAATACCTTTCAATGTCTATATCAAGCTCTAATTCTTCTGAGATGTAATTAGAATTTAAATTTTGTAGCGATAAACTAGGACCGGGAAAACTTATAATAAAGGTCACCGGACAATAGTAAAATGATGGTTTTGCCCAAATTAATAAAAATTTTTCTTAATTAAACTAAAAATCTAACAAATCATACAGAAATGTCTGAAAAATAAAATGAATCATAAATTATTCTTTTAATATCAATATTAACTGAGATCATTAAATTTTCCGAAAAAAATTTTATAATAACGCGAACCACTTTTTAAAAAATTTACTAATTATGCGAACCACCTTTTTGTGTTACACAGAATATATAAAAATCTAAATTGAGTGTATAAATCATGCATTCAACTCTAAACTTAAACAGATAAGTTTAATCCACACATTTTGGCTTCATTAAAAATTGTATATATAAAAAATTCAATGGATTTTACTAGTGTGCCGGGTACTACAGTGACCTCCATTATAGGTTTTCCCGGTCCTGATAAACTAAACGGAAATTAATAAATTCGAATAATTAATTACATAATTCAAAATAAATTTTTTTATTTTAAATACCTTTCAATGTCTTTATTATTCTCTAATTCTGAGATATAATTGGAATCTAAGGAGTATAACATATTTCTTATAAATTACAGTTTATAGATGACATTTTTAAGTTTTTTTTTTTTGAAATACACCGCTTACCAAATGAAATTGTTGAAAATGAATATATGGATGAACATTTAGAAATTAAAGCACTTAATGGCCTGCTTGTATAAATAGCTTCTAAATGACGTTTTTCAGCAAATTCCGGCCCAATCTTCTTTGATTTTATTAATTTCGCTCTTTTTGCTTCACCTTGTCTAAATTCTTCATCATTAACCCTTTTAAATGTCCACCTACCAAAAGTCAAACGAATGTCTTTTATAGAAGGTCTTTTTTTAGGATCAGCATCCCAACAACTTTTCATTAAATTAGCATAACATTCTGGTGTATCTTCTGTAATTTTAGGTCGTTCTCCATCAAGAATTTTATAAATAAGATGATGATCATGTTAAACATTATCAAAAGGTTTACAACCTGTTGTAAGTTCCCACATAATCATACCCAAACTATAAATATCAGCTTCTTTAGAAAATATAGACCCTCTAAATATTTCCGGTGCAATGTAAGGTATTACTCCATATACTTCATTATTTGATGATTCACTATTTACAGCTTGTGATAATCCTAGATCTCCAATTTTCATTTAATGTTCTTTTACCTTTTGGATCAAATAATATGTTTCCACTATGGAAATCTCGATGCATAAATTCTTTATTATGAATAGTTTCAAGTCTAAAAGATATAAAAAAAATTAATAACTTAAATTTAAAAAATTAATAAATACTGTATATAAAATATAAATACCCCATTGAAATTTGATGTAAAATACGTAATTTTTCTCTATTCCATGTAATACGTTCAAAATCCTTCTGCAAATGCTTATGTAAATCCCCTCCTGATGCATATTTCATAACTAATATGTAATCTTCTAATTCAGGAACTTTTGTAAAGCCATAAGTTTCAATGATATGACCCTTTTCGTCTTTAAAACAATGATAATATGATTTTAACTATTTAAATTTAAAGATAAATTAAATTAAAAATTTAGTTTATTTAATATAAATTATATAAGAAATATTTAAAATATTTTACCTCATTTAAGAAATATTTGCCATTATTTTTAGAATTTTCAAATCTTTTTAAAATGACAATTTCATTTTTATTATTTTTATTTGACCAAGTTGCTGTATATATAATACCATATCCTCCCTTTGTCATTTCTTTTACATCTTTAAATTGAGAATATGGTATCCACTTATCATTTTGTTTTGCTTGTTTTTTTTCTTTAAATATAGACCGTAATATATTATCTGGTGTAAAATATTTATTAATGTTTTTTACAATATTTTCAAATTCAACTGACTTCAAATAATCTAAACTATCGCATGTTATAAGATTATTATTAAAAAGAAAATCATCGATAACACTATTTATGGGCGATTTTCTTTTGCATTTTTTACATTGAGATTGATCCGTAGGTCCAAAAAGAATGTTTGTTGTTAAACAATATCTGCATCCAACATAAAATATAATACAATATGCACAATACTTTTGACAGTCTGATGTAAATGTTAACTCTGAATTACAAATATTGCACTTATGATTATTATGCCACCATGGTAAGTAAAGAATTGAAATTTGCTTTTTATCCAAGGTTGATTCTATCAATCCAGAAGAAATTAAATAACAATCTGAGCATAATTTAGCGTCAGTATACCATTCATATATTCCTTGATATATTGACTTTCCACATAATTTACAATTTTGTTCACTTTCAATCACCTTATTGTTTAGAGTGCGATCGTTTTCATCAAGGTAAAAATCAATAATATATCCATTTGTTTGTTTAAAACATAAAATTCTCACACAATTTCCACAGCATTCTTGAATACTTTGTGGTATTTTTGTCCTACTTATTTCATGTTCACTACATTCCAAGTCCATTGTATAGTGTACATCCAAATAAATATCATTTTCGGTTATATCATTAATATAACGTGATAAACATTTTTGGCAATAATATTGGTAACTTAAAAGCGCTTTAATATATTTTTCTCCACAATAAACACAATTTTCATCATTCACATTAAAAGAAATAAATTTAATTTGTATAGGACTAGATTTTAATCTTGGTGTTGGATCGAAAGAATTTTCATCATTTGTATTTACAATTTCCATTTTATTAAGTTAATTAATATATGTTATAAACAAGTATCGATAAGACAATGAATTTGGAAAATTTGAAATACGTATTTTTATTTATATCTGAATTACCAGGAGTTTGAACCTTTTGTTGGTAATACGGAAAGTATTTCTAGATTTTCTCATGGAATCTTAAGGATTTACCATAGTACTACGGAAAAGTCCGTTTATTTATTTAGTTTGTAATTCATATGACTAACTAGTGGAAATATCTAAGTAATTGGCGTAATAAAAATAAATCTTTCAGCATAGAAGATAATGATGGAAAGTACAAATTAACAAGAAAGGAAACGGTCAAAAAATTAACCGTGTACGACAAATTGAGATGTATAATTACTTTTGTAGTATAATCATTCTAAACCTCACAATGAACACCAAATATAGTAATTTCATTAAAAAAAAGTAGATTGAATAATAACAAGATATTGTACTACATCTCATTGGTTTTTTCTTCTATTTGTTCCTACGTGAAGTTAATTGTAAAACTATTCTAAACAATTATATTCGCATATTATTAATATTCCAAAATTATGTAAATTATGCAAGAACGATTATCTTTCTAGAACAAAGTAATTTAGTCCTATTAAAACCATAAGTTTCCAAAATACTATACAAAATATTTGCATATTCTAATGTTCTATGACGTTATTGGTTAAAAGCCTTTAAAGACATTGCATCGTAAAACATGTCTAGCGTGTAGTAGTTTTAACACTTGAAAATCATTTTACATAAATGTGTATCAGTGCATAATGATTAATGGTTCAAACATTAAATTTATTTATTTCAAGTCAATTATAAATGATGAATTCATATTTTTGACTTTTTTTTAAAAAAAAATTACAATAATAATAGTAGTGTTCTTTTAATCTAGATATAAGATAAATAATATTATTATTATCTGAACGTGAAAATAAAATTACATGAATAAAAATAAGTCAAGAATATTATCTGATTTCTTTAATTTTTTCAAACGCAATGTAAAGTCTTCTTTACTGTAATATCATCAATATGTTCATGACACATATCATCTCTAGTGTGTCAATCTGATAAGCGTTTATCCGGATAATTATCGGATATCCGTTATCCAGATAAAATTTTTTTAAAAGAATCGGATAGATGGATAAACAGTTAGTTTAACGGATTATCGTAAAACATCAGAAATCGGAATGTCTACTTTTTTTGAAATTTAACCAATAACTAGAATATGCGATTTGCCAGGGGACTTCGTCCCCCAAACATAACATTTATAATTAAAAAAATTTTTTGATATAAATAAATTGAATTGTATGTAAAATATTACCAAATAATAAAATTTTATTATAATTAAACCTATAAAAAATCATGTTTTTAATAAGGTTTTATACAATTTTTTCTTAAAAATAATGTTTCTAATCTATATAGGGATACGGAAAAATGCACAATTCCATATCACAAAAATGTATCATTTTGCATGATTTGACCATAATTTATGCCGAATTTATATTGATTTGATCACAGAAATTACATAATTTAAGCATAGAATTTACACGATTTGGTTAAT